TACTGTTTACACCAGCAAGCACAGAGCTCAGAATTGGCCACATGTAGCCACTGTCCCAGCCAATGCTCTGTGAACACACGACGGATCTGTCAAGGTGGCAGCACCAGCAGAAAATGCAGYCAAGTGGCACAACCACATATAAATTGGTTACAAAGTGGGCATTACTTCCCRTTTTAGGRAGCAGCTTATTATAAAATACAAATGACAAAGTAAATCTTCAAACAAAATCTTCATATCTTCAAAATAAAAGTTTCAATACAGTTGCATATCACTGAAAATCTATACTAGACAGCATAAAATAAAATATTTTATGGGCCATAAAACTACTCAATCTGAATATATTATTTCAGAGTTACTATAGCTTTGCCAGCTATAATTATTTCTATAACACTCATGAACACAAACTCATTTGCTGGTCTGTTCTCTCTAGATAGGTCATTTAGAAGTGGCAAAAATCTAGATTGAATCAGGAAGTTTAAAGGGCTGATTTCTGCATAGACAAAGAGGTAAATTATACTARCCATGTTCATGCCAAAAGTCCTCCAAAAATATTCTATACTTAGTGATTTTCAAGAGGCTTGTATCAACTCGCTTTCCAAGAAATGAGAATACCAAGCAAAATAGTTTGCTACAGTCACCATAATGAGAAATGGTTTTTTGCTTTAAGGAAACTAGCAAAACAGAAAATTTGGGAGTTAAATGAAAACGGAATGAGTTAGAAAAGAAGCCAAAAGCTTAACCTTTTCCTCAAACTGGAGGTACATCCCAGTCAGGAAGTGCCAGAAAAACCCAACTCTCATCTGTGCCCTTCCAAGGACCCCTYTGCTCCTCCCCACCTGCTTTTTCCACTTGCTTTTCCCTTTCTCATAGTCTCCACTCATCCTTCTCAACTGCAGTCCTTTACGCACAGCTTCAGTCATCGAAACTGAAATACAAACAAACAAAACCTTGCAAGTTTGGCTCTTCAAGTAATCTTTTGTTTTTTTCCTGGCAATTCACTCCTTTTTTTTCTGGAATACATTACATTGGAGCTAGAAAAATTACACTGGAGATTCACTATCAATATTAGTAAGTATGTGTGCAATGCAGATAAGAGACACTAAAAATCACAATTGGCTTTAACTTTATAAACCAAGCATAACAGAAATAAAATTAATAGTATCTATCAGTCCACATACATTTGCTGTAATGAAACAGATGGGTATACAGAATTTGGGCCTAATTTCTTTTTATGTGACGAGGCACTATCACTCCTCCTTCCTCCAACTAATGACTTTTTCGTAAGCACTCAAAACATATAATTCCAATAAAGATAACAAGCCCCATCTCAAGTAGATCCAAGTACAACCATTCTTTTGGCTGTTCACCACTCAAAAAGGCCCTCCCATCCTACCAGTGTCCCACTCCTAACACTGAYGTCTTCCTCTATTTTGCCTCCTGGTCATTTATCCTGACATTCATTTCCATTTCTGCTTGCAAAGCTCTATGACGGTAAGATATAAACACAAGTGCCATGCCAATAAGCAGATTACGATGGAGTGTTTCTCAGTTATAAAGCATCATTCCTGTCATGAAGAGTTACAGCTGCACTGGACACTGGCAAACATTTTTGTGAAGACAATGTGAGCTGTAATATTTGGAAGTTATCYCCAATGAGCTAAATGCTTAAAACAGAAATAACTCTCGGTGGCAAAACATGCCCCTCTCCCTCATCAAAACACACACAACAAGGAAAAGCAAACAGATAACCATTACATTCTCATACCACTGAAAAGAGAAGCAAGAAWTAGGCTCCATATTAGCGTCAGCGTTTAACAGCAAACATTAACCATCAAGCACCTAACAGGTCATTTGYTTCAGCAACCAGTGAGTGAACAGACTGGAAAGAATCCTCTGTGTTAATTATGCAAAGCACCCGCTGCACCAGGCACTTCCTGAAGATTAATCAACAGCTGCCCAGGGAAGGGAGGGAGGAGGAGGAAGAGGAGRCRGAGGAAAAGATGGGATAGCCTGAAGCAAGGTCATGGAACCCTCAGAAATTAAACTCYAGTAATTTTCCCCTACCAAAGATAGTAGTATTGTTAAAACAGATAAACTTAAACCTGGCATATGGTTTGGTATAATTTAAATGAAGATATTAAAGGTTTTTTCCATGAAACAGATGATTAGCAGTTTTCATACTTCAATGTGAAATACAGCACAAAGTTCCTGTGTCAAGAAAGCAAATGGAAAGATACCTAAAACACTGTAACTGGCAACGTTGCATTGATTTGTAAATTTAGACACAGAYACTTTAGTAAAACTCATTAAAACTCATTAGTTAGGGGTTTTAGCATGTTTTGAGAATGCCTATCTATAGCATACCCTTGAGTGATTTAATAGAAATAACAGCATTAAAACTTGCATTATAGAAAACCATATCAATTGCTGATCAATACATGCCAAAGCAGCAAAATGGCACAGGATTAAACTAGTAATCTGCAGATTCAGGATCCAAGTATCTTACTGGAGTGCTTCCTGTAGCAATTTCTTAAAAATCCTTAAGGGCTTATCTGTACATAAAGTATGAACCATTAGATTTGTAAAGTTCCTATTGGAATTTAATTGGATAACAGCAACTTTGAAGTCGTCCATCTGCCTGGAGCACAGCAGCTGTGATGGGAAGCTGGGAATGCCATTGCAATATTCTGATAAATTCTCAAACAAAACCATAAAAAGCCTCCAGTAATTACTGGATGATAAGAGAATTCAGAGCTTGGCACTGAAGCTTTATTTCTATTTGGAGAAACTATTTGATTTGTTTATTGTGTCAACTTGCTTACAGAGAATAAAGAGTACAACTATTTGAGCCACCTGATACTAACACATCGTCAAAGTAGAATCTCATATTAATTGTCATCTTTGCTTCCTGTCATCTTCTGCACAATGTCTCTGTGGAAGGGAACGTTCCCAAAAGTATCAAAAATCATCTGACATTTTCATTTTCTCTTMCAACCCGATGATTGAATAATATCACATTATTACATTGTATAAATTATATTGCACTGCCTGAATGTAACATGAGGCTATATAAGTCTATTGCTTTACTCTATGACAAGATCATCCCCCATGACATYCATCACAAGAACTCTTGTAAATTAAATATGGTGAAGGCTGCTCAAAGCTTAAATAAATAAAATACCGTAAATAAAACGTATAGACAGGTAACAAAAGCAGTAAGGATAATGAAGTCACTACTGGAAGACTTATCTGAATTAATATTATGGTGAGAATTTAGTCCCAGTCTTAAGAATCACTGTAATCATCAAAGCAAAGCATATAGGATTATTTAAAACCCATATTTAAGATTTAGACTAATTCCTCTTCTTGTCAATATTCTATTCTATAATACCAGCTACTTTAAGACCTAACACGTTTTATTACAATTTACAGGAATTAGGTTTTCCTTCAAGAATACTTCGTGAACAACTTTGGAAGTTTAAGACATCAGATATGCTATGAGTCAAGCACTCATCACTGCACATTCTGAATGCTGGGCCCGACTATTCTGGAATGATTGGGGCCAAAAATTCACATTTAAGAGGAAAGTCCATTACACAGATTATATGTGTGGGAAACAACAAAATAACCCTTAGCACCATGGAAACCTGGAATGTGAAGAGTCCTGGAAAAAAGAGTTCAGGAAAGAGATATCAGTCAAAAATTCACTATAAATATAATCATACATGGTGCATTAAGATATATGTTAAGTCCCAAGAAGCCATTATGAGCACAGTAACCAAAAAGATGCCAAAATAATCTATTAAAGTAATTTTAATATGAAAACATTGAAACAGCATTACTGTTCTTAAGATATACGATCWCTAGTCACACGTGAAGCTATCTACTCACATGAGAGCAGCTCAAGACCTAATTTTCACCCCTCACTGCCTTGRTATTTTCTTACTGCAGCTTTGGTACATGGCCTGTTTATTAATAGAATTTTGTTACRTGACTCTCCCATTTCAACACGCTCAATCAGCTCCGTTGGGCACACAGGTGGATGCTGCAGGAAAGAAGCAACAATAATGGGCAGCCCTTCCATAGGCAGAACATTCCCATAAACACTCCTTGCCTGCACAGCTGCCTAGCTTGAAGTAATCATCCATGTTGCACCTGATGCCCAACTTGCAGATGATCCATCAGGGTACTCAGCACAGGAAACACATCTGTAATCTGCATAAGAAGGGACAAACTCCTTGCACTTTAAGTTTGATTGATATTATCCTTATGGAATAAATACAGAGAATTTGAAAAGTGCTCACTGCTCATTACACTTTGATCTATGAAAAAAATATTTTTGTGGCAAACTAAAATGGTAAACCCAACACTTCACACACTCATGCAGTCAAATTCAGTCTTGAATCAATCTTTTATATTGCATAGGAAAGATTTTGTAAGCACACAATATGTTCTATATATGCACTAGTCTTTAATAGAAATACCCTGAAAATTTATATTCCCTTGTTTAAGAGCTGTTCTTACATTTGAACACATATAATGGGAAACACTTAGAAGAAAACACCTCTGAATCATTTTTGAACATTAACTTGGCCCAGAAGAGAGAACTCATATTTATACACTTAAGTTTTTGCATATTTCCAATAACCATAAATAGACTAAGTAGACATTTGAAAATGTCAGACAAGATCTAAGACTTTGGGTCCAGGATCATGAGTTCAGGTTCAGGCTTGCATATAGCACTAGTTGGTACAGAGAGCACAAGAACAAAATAAATCTATTTTTCCAAAAATTTGGAATACACATTTGGTTGCTTCAAGTTACTTCATAGAAGAAAACTTTAGAAACTTCATAATTATAAAATATTTTTCAGCTTATATAGAGGCATCTAATAACTGAAGTAAGTATAGCACTAGAGATTAAGAATCTTTAGAGGCAAGGGGAGGAAAGAGCAGTTTCTGGCAATTTATTAATTTACAACTGTTGTGTTTTATTTTCAGGAAACACTATCTGCTATTCTGTCTTTTCTTATTATTTGGTTTGGTCTGCTCTTCTGACGCCAAAGTACTTACAGAACTTGCCAAAATGAAACAATCCTCAGATACTGTTGGCTTTATATCTGCATAAACTAAAATACCAACTACACATCAATAACTTCTTCCACTGAATTCAGCTGGATGCTGCATTCTTCCCTTGTCAGAAGCGGCTGCTAAAATAAAAAGATGTCAGCGGAAGAGAAAGCATCTCTAAAGACAGCATTGCACTTTGGTATTACTGGATATGTACTATCATTAAAACTATGCATCAGGAATAAAAGCACTCCCCAAAGTTACCATGCCTGCTGTTTATGCAATATGCAGATGAGCAATATGTGACTGGTCTATGATAAAAGAACTTTAACACTAATTGAGAGCTCACTATCAAATAAGAACCATTAGGAAAGCCATAGACTCCAACTTGTTTGTAAATTAGTTATTCGCAAGCCTATCAATCTGGAACAATCTTGTAACACAGAGATCATGATAATTTTGCATCATATAGAAGCACTTCTGCATTCCCCAGCTACAAGAAAACTTTCCTTATATCAGTTATTTCATTTCTTTACCTTAGTGTGCATTTAATCCATAGCTGTTTGTACTTTTAGCTACCATTTTAACAGAATCAAAATTTGAAGGAGCATTCCTTAAGAATTCTCGTATATCAGTGAGATTTTTAAGTAATAAACAAAARGCTTTCCTTTCTTAATTAGTAGCTAAGGTATCCCTTTATACCTAAGGAGAATCCCAAGATGTTGCTCAGATGACCTAATGAAATGGGTCGCAGAGAAACACATTACTGGCAGGCTTTAAACTGTGATTCAATGGCCCAGCAAAGCATGAAAATGCGCCCAGTTCTGCTCAAGAGGAATAGTCTGGACTCTGCTGATTGCATGAGGCAGCCACAGCACCGCAGAAGCAAATCCCAGCAAGTGCGGTTCAAGGAYGACGGGATGACCATGGGGGTCACTGAAACGGATGCTCTTCCGGCCCAAAACACGACATTCCTGAGCAGYAATACAGAACTAAACAAGCACCAAGTTTTTTTGCCAAACCAATCTCCGTCTTTCRCAAGGGCTCAAGAAGGTCTTCAAAACATTGCCATCCAAACATCTCCTAGTCTCAGGAAGCACTGCCCAGTTTTTAAGAAAAAAAAGCTGACAATAAGCAAATCGTTAACAGAAATGACAACCGAATCTGCAAATCCCATCCCAGTAAATGGTGATCTTTCTGAGCAAGATGTAATGCTTTCTGACATCTCTTACCTAAGAATAAATAATCATGTGGAAGATGGATTTCAAAAGAGTGAGGTGGACAATCAGTTACAGCAAAAACCAGCAACGAAATCGCAATGCAATGGACCTATCTACTCAAACTCTGACGATCTCCTGGTACCAGAGAAGCCACCTGCTTCTATACAGGTGCCAGAATACATACATGTGAGCTTCCCACAGGACAACAAGGCTACCACGGACGCACTAGACACGACCATAGATTTAAGCAGTTCATTGCATTCTTCTACTGCCATGAATCAATCCAKCGACAACCACACACTGCCATGTAATTCTGAAGAACCACATCCTTGCTTAGGCAATTCCAGTCACTGCAGCCAGCGCCTTCCACACCATGACTCCTGTGAAGCAGCCTGCGAGTTACCCACAGCCAGCAAAGACTCAAGCAGCAAGGAAACTGCTCCTCTGCTGCCTCCATCAAACCACAGTTCATCCCCTTTTGTCCCCAAAGACTCTTGGCAGTCTAGASAGCACAGAACAGATGTCAACTGTGTGACACTAACGAATGACAACCATGCAGCAATGTCACTGGCCAGCACCAATGCATCTAAACCCATTCCTCCATTTCACAATGAGAAAAATCCCACTCAGCCAGATGTTTCAGATTTTAACAACTGCATAGAAGGATTTCATATAACATCTTATCTGCCAAGGAATGAAGTAAAACCACAGACCAGCAAAGAGATTAGAGAAATTAATCAAATCCATTTAGCACATGGCGAACTATGTGCCCTCCAAGGCAGGCTGCAGTCTGTAGAGGAATCCTTGCAGTCCAACCAGGAGAAGATTAAAGTCCTTTTGAATGTAATTCAAGATCTGGAAAAAGCCAGAGCTCTGAGCGAGGGGTATGGTGCATTTTAATACTAGAAACTATTTTATTTGGTAATTTATSGGAAGTTTAAAGGGAATGTTAGTGTTCTTGTAACATTTGCTATATAAAAAAAAATATTGAAATATTTAAAGTTAAGTTTCCAAAACCTTATCTTATCCATTGTTTCTGATACTTAGGCCTCTGCAGAGAAGCGAGTGTCCTTATAGTGCCAAGGCACTGATTAACACTGCCTTTACTAAATCCAGTAGGAGATACTGTTTAACATCTTTTTATTTAGATTTATGGTGTCAAATGCAATGCTGGCATCCTCCTCCTAACTACAAGTACTATGCAGTGACAACAACAAAACCCAACAGCCTAATGTACTAATGAAATGTAAGAGATACCAATGGCAGGCAAACTGTCTTGTACTCTCTCAAGGTCACAGCACATGCACTCAATGGCAAAGCAGGTGAAAGGGTTTGCATTAGCAAAACCATGCTTCTGTTGGGTAAACCAGTAATGCCTTCACAAGCAAGCAGGAGCGTTAGTGGCCCAAGTCACACATTTGTAGGCCTCTTTGGGCACCACATGGGTGGCTGCATCTCATGACACCACAAGTAACACTGCTGCTTAAGGGGAATGCTTTAAGAAGAGGAGGAGGTGCAGTGGTGAGTCCACTCCAGGAGGTTCAATGTGCTGTTAAGATTTCCCAGGGGATGGCACTGGAAGCTTAAAAGGGATTAAAGTAAGAACACAGAGCATGTGATGACCACAAGCACTTAATGAGACAGATTTTGGAATGACTGCTTCCTGTACTGTCCCAAGGGTGCATGATCTGTACTTGCTCTCAGCATGTTCTCATAGTGACTGCTGCCTCAGGGCAGCAGGAATTATTTATGTAACTGATTCATGCACTGTAAGTAATAACAACACTATAAAGGCAGCTGATGCCTAACTACTGAAGAATTCATTCCTTTGTATGACAAAGCTGAAATGGAATTTAGAACATTTCTATGTTCAAAATACACTCTAAATGGCAGACCTGACCTGTGCAAAACCCTGCTCACAGTGAGACATGCCCAGATTCTTCAGCACTGCCTGCACTCCCTTTCTGTGGAATTACCACAACAATTTCACCAAGTTTCACACTGAGATTCCACAGATGAGCTTCAGTCTAGCACACTAGCACCATTTGCAAACTACCACAGTAAAAATGAACATTGTGAGTGGTCCTGGAGGCAGCATAACAATCTCAGTGAATAAAGACCTCTTATGAAAAGCAATCAAAAATATTAATCAAAAGAAAGAAGATTAAACTTAATTCTTCTAATTCCAGTAAAATTGCTCCATATAAATGTAATGATTCCTTCAGATAAGGCCCAGATATTCCAATTCAGATCTTGGCATCATAAAAATGATTTAACCCTAGTTGTTATATCAGGCTTCGAGTACTGTGTATGTATGGGGCATTTTCTGAAATGACAATTTTATGTCCCATCATATTAGGTTATTAGGAATATATCTGTTCTTCTACTTTATGCCTTTATCAAAATTGCCCTGATAGTACCTGCAACAATACCAAAATTGAAAACAACTTTTTGGTAAATTTAACAGTCTAGTTCTCTCCACAGTAAAATTTAACAGTAAGTASTAGTAAAATAATAAAAGTAAAAATCTGAAGCAAGGAAACAAGAAAAGCTGAAAGAATGGAAAGAACCATTCATATAATTCACTGGCTATTCAAATATTCCCAAATGTGCTCAAGAAACATTATGATCAAGTTTTACTTTGTATCAAGAACTCAGATGAGAGTCMAAAACCAAAATACTCAAAAGCAGGAGGCACAGAAATCATGACAAAATAGGAACTAACTTGGGGTTTGGTTGTTTTAAAGCTACCTAATCAGAGAATTTGACACCTGAGTTTTCAGCAAGTATTTTTTTTCAAAAAAAAAAAATAGAGATCTGTTAATGTAGCTATGAACATAAATTACAAGAACTATTATTTGTTACAGGCGTAACTTCTACCACACTGGTCAAGACCTCAACAACTGCAGCACCTGTCAGAACACAGCGTGCATCATTTACAGGTACCACAGCCCCTCACGCTATTTGATACTGTCTGCCTGACCCTCAAATATGAGCAAGGCTTTGCTTAAAACTATAAAAAGGTCTGTAACTATGAACAATATCTGTAAAAAGAAAGACCAAACAGAAAATTTGAAATCTTACACAAGCACAGAGAGCACAGTTGGTGCTGGCGTTAGCTGAATGATGCTGCATTTCCGTGAATTCCATGTGGACACTTTTATCACAGTATTCTCAATGTCATGCTTTAAAATCTCCCTGATAAAAATCCCTTGGCATGTTATATTTTTAAATCTGATATTTCTACAGAAGCTTCCAACCTTGGAATGTTTTTCTAAAAGCCAGTAAGTTACAGCTWCAGTTCATCTTCATACAAAAGGCACAGGGCACAACAGACATTAATCATGCTTGTTAAGAGATTTGCTCGGAGAAAAAAGACAAAAATATTTGAATTTCACAAGCTTCTGTGTTCATCTTGACATTAATTTTCTGCTCCTATTTTTACACCTACAATCAACACTCCAAATGGACAATCCATTTCACACCTACAAAATGTGGCCTAATGTCTTATGCATAGGGCTATAACTTTAATCATATAATATTGGTCATATCTTGTAAGATATAAACTCTTTGTTTCATTCTAAAACAGTCTCACAGTTCAAGACAAGTAGCAGAAACAAGGTACAGATGGAAAGATCTGCACTACTATTCATAATAAGTGTACACAATTAATATATAGTAAAAAGTAAAATTTTAAGAATGTCATTTTAAAAAATAAGCACACTAAGGCATTCTTTTTCTAACTTCTTGTGTTTCTAACCGCTTGATTTTCTCGGTTGTTTCTAACCATGATGGCGCTTCAGGCACTACAATAATTAGCACAGTGCATACARCAGAACACAATTTCTGCTCTGAACATGTTCTAATCTTAAACAAAGCAGAAGACAGCAAACAGGGGCATCCTTCTTATTCATTAATATTCATTCTTATAGAGATGTAAGCACAAGAGACAGTCTTACAATCAAGCTTTCAGAGTAMCCAATATTTGAAGCTCATTAGACTACGAGTCATCAGGTTTTCCAAGAGATACGCATAGTTTTTCTATTAACATAGTTCTTCTGTCATCACCAATCAAGTGTTCCATCTTGTTCTCCCTTTCCCTGATCCTAGGTCATCAATGATTCAATACACCAGTATGTTGTGTTACTGTCAGTGAATCTTCTTTTGTTAGCTGCATTTTAAGCAGTCCCTGAACRTGTCAATCTACCAACCTCATGCCAACCCAGGTGTTGATTAAACTGATTGCTAAAGCAGCAGAGAGCCTTTCATTCTTACAGTCACAGAAAATTCCAATCTGATATACAGTGGCTATAAGCTTAGCTTTATTAACAACTATTCAAGCAGTGATATGTGAAATGACTTGGGACTTTCAATCTAGATCTTATCAGACAAAAGCTTGTTATTACAATAAATAAATGGAAGCCGCAACCTAAAGGGAACAGTTATCTCAGAATACAAAGGACAAGTATTAAATGGAGACTTAACTGATCTCTTGCCTCTGGAGATGATCTCCCCAACATTAAATTAGAAATGGGGAAAAAGGAAAGCAAAAAGGAACATGAACAGATGTTACCCTTGTAGTAGGCATGTTAGAAACAGAACAGTTCATTCTCCAGTGCTCCTGATTTGTGATTTCTAAAAAGCATTAAGTTACAGTTTTAACAAAAAACAGATAAAGGAGGCACAAATCAAATTTGTCTTTATATCATTTCCATCCTTCTCCTTAATTATTACATAATCATATATTTATTATATTTTACTCCCTGACCAGAAATCTCTCTCAAGCTCTTCCATGCATTAGAATTGTTTCTCTTTTTGCCACCTAATTTACTTTACTTGAGTTAAAAACCAGAAGCACATTAATTAGAAAGGGAAATAAACATCTGGTTAATTTTAGCTGTCAACACAGCATTTATGCATTTGTATATATCCATAATTCAAAATTAATTCAAAATGAATTAATATAGTGCTAATAGAAACATGCATATTTAGTTATCTTACAGATTACTTTTTCAGGGTCCAAATCAGGAATGGGGTCTGTTTGTGATATCTTTTATACAAATATGCCTAACAAGGATGTCTTATTTCTTTCCAAAAAGCTTTATGGAAAAAGCACACAAAGAAAAAAACACCTTCCCCTGCTTCTGTCTTCCTGAATATTCAGCTGTCAAATCCCAATCTCCTGCCCAGAAAAAATGGATAAGGAGGCATTTTTATGAAGTTAATTATCGGCTGATTTACAGTGTTACAAATAAGGCAACTTCAACCATTTCAGGATTCTTCCTATTCTTTACTGCAAAATACAATGCCGTACTTTACTTTTCACCATCAAGAATCATTTTCATATTAATGAAAATTTCTTTTTCATTGCAACTGGCTGGAACACTGCCCTGCATTAATATGACAAGTTATTATACCAAAAAAAGTAACTGCCACTTTTATTTACATAAAAGTAACACTCCCCAGACTGCAGGCTGCCATAGCTACTTCCCAGGAAATCTCTAAATCCCCTGCCAGCTTAATTTTTACTAAAATCAGCATGAAATAAACCATTCAGCTTTCTACATGACTTAAATAACCAAGTACAAATCATTTTTCATTAGGCTTTTTCCATAGCACATGAAACAGATTTCATCATTTTTCATCTCATCCTTGGCTACTTATAGCTAGACAGTTGCCTCTTTTTCTCATTAGATTTCTGGTCATCAGGATCTTGGGTGAAGGTGAAGCTCACTGTTGATCCTTTCTCAGACTAAATACTCTTCACAGATAATTCAATTTGCTATATAATAGASCTCCTTTTAAAAAATGCATTATCTTCCTTAAATGAGGGGGATACACTACCTCCCTTCAATGGGGGCTGGTGGAAGGGAGAGAAGAGGAGACATAGGTCCCCAGTAATGTGCTCAGTCTAGGTTTAAGGAGCAGGAATCATGGCTGAGATTGGCCATCAAGCAGGTGGAGAAGACTACAAAAACATAAATGCAGTTTACAACACAATATAAAAAGTGTAAGCTACGTATATATTTTTATTACGAATGTTTTACCTTGTTCATTCATTTCYAAGCTTGGCTTGGATGCTCAAGCCACTACGTCAAGCAGCAATTAACAAAGAATAGGGGGTCTCATTTCAGAGAGCTGCCTAACTCAACAAAACCCACCAACCCCRGAGAATTTTATTTTGTGCTTAAGCTACGGGGGTTCAAGTTAACATAGGTTAAACTTAACATCTTCCTCAACTATAAARGCAGCACATTGGAAGCAAATCATTTGAAACTAGATGTCCATTCATAAAAGCAAGCACATACTAACCATGGAAAAAAAATACAGGAAAAACCTATTTAAACTGTCAATAACTCACACTTTAAAGTCACAAAAGAATCCACAATAGCCACCTCCACATTCCATGTAATATATGGGCTAAAAATAAACAACAGAGCATAATGAACATAAACAGTATATTTCTTCTCATATTTAAAGCTGTCTATGAAAGTATCACATATTTAAAAAGCCAGCACATATATATGCATGAGTTTTATTTTATTAGCTTATGCAAAAAAAAGAGACGGAAAAATTTAAATACATAAGAACTGCTACGCAATTGAAGGGAAATATCTGTCACTATAGACTTTGCATTTTTTTCCCCTGTAATTATTGTCCCATTGTGTTTGGACCCAAAATAAGAGTTCTTACCTCAAATAAATGAAGCTGACTCCCTCAGAAAAACATAAGGGATGAACCTCTTCTTTTCAAGGCAGCATCCTACAGTGCTCTGCATTTTAACCAAGCACTTTCTAACAAAGTGAATTTTTGACATGTTTTTCAAGAACAATTTCTCAGTTACTAGCTTAATCTCTTCATTTTTTTTCCCACAGTGTTGAATATGACTTCAGACAACAAGAAGGAAGATTTCATCAAATTTTGAAAAGGCTGGATCATGCGGAGCAAAGCCCGGCTCCAGCTTCTCCTCAAAAGCTACCACCAGAACCTCCAGTCTCCGAGAAAAAAGAATTAAGAAGGAAAACAAAAAAGATGAAAAAGAAATGCTTCTGGTGGATTTGACTGCCTTATGGATCATACACAAAAACACAGAGCTTTTACATTTCAAAAGACACCAGAACACATATGAAGAGATTGACAGCACACACCTGCTAACTGTGCTATAATGATATCAAGTAGAAAGCTAAAAACAAAGTTTAATATCTGAGTATGTGAAAAATCAAAAGATTTGAATTTACTTAACAAATCATCTTACCGATTAAATACTCAGAGACTATTTTCAAACAACAACAAAAAAACTGTTTTGTTTTTCTCATCTTTCTCCGAGAACATTTTCATATGCTTTGTAAGGACTTTTGTTTCAGACCTCCCAGAAATGCTACTTGAAAAAGCAAGTACAGACAAAGCTAAGAACACCATTCTCTCCTCACTTCCTACTTTTAAGCAACATGGACTGAAAACAAAATCAACATGCACTGATCACTAAACAAATCACATAACCAAATACATGTTCAGGGTGATGTATGTTGCTCAAAAATACCAACTAAAAAAAACATTTCTCAAAGGAGACAGTGACACATATTTCATAACCCAYTGAAATACTTTGTTGCTCTTGTCCAATATGTAGCAAAGCAAAGCAAATATTTCAGATTAAATGTTACCCCTTCCTTCTAATGTTTCATTTTAAACAGCAGTAATTTAAAGGTTTCATTCATTTAACAGATTTCTSTAGAAAGACTTCCAGAATTATAAAACGTGAGACTTCCTCAAAAGATTGAGCCCAATTCCCTTCTTAAAGCAGGTCCACTTTGATAGGACTGATCAGAACTGTGTCCAGTAGAGGTTTGAATATACATTATATTTTACATACACACACAAAAAATATATAGTCTTTACAATCTCTCTGAGAAACTGTTCCAATGACAGGCGTTTACCACTTCTACAATGAAAAACTTTTTCCTTACATGAAAAGTAGTTTCCAGTGTTCTAATACGTCCACTGCATCTTGTCCGATCCCAAAGCACCTTCAAGAGGCTGGCTCAGTCTTATCTTTAATCTCCCGTTAGATATTCAGTTTAGAACCTCCCTAAACCACTTGCTGACTTCTATCCTCTTAAACCACTTGCCTGATTTGCCTGCCCAGTATCATGATGCATTTAAAACCTGTATCACTACACCAAAAACCTCAAAGCACATTTTTTGGCCTTCAGAAAGCAAATAGCCCCATACAGGTCCATACGATACAAAATTAGCCCTAAAAATCAGGTTTTAGTGAACTTACCTTATGTCAAAACAAATTATAGTTCACAGGTCAGCATAGCTTTTTATTAACCTTTGAAAGCTCCTTGTGGCACCAGTTGTACTAGGTATTCCAGTGCTTAATGAAGCCTAATTCCACCCTAATTAAGTMATTTTGTTCTAGACAAAGTGATCACCATCAATAATGAGGAAAAAACYGCAAAGCAAGTCGGCTTGAAAGGCACAATGTAAAGGCTAAAAAGGATATTTTAGGTTTAGTGGTACATTTTGCAGGCCTATTCTTAAAACTGACTGGTTAATGAGGTCAAATAGGGTCCGCATATTTAGCAGCTTAACCTCCAGATCCTCTTTTGAAATTCATATGGTATTAACTGTGTAACACATTTAAAAACTGTGCACTTTAATACATTTCTGCATGCTCCTGATTTGCAAGGTTAATTAGATATTTAGAAACACATTAAAAGACAGTTTGGGACAGATATAAGGAAGACCTAAACATGCAAGAAAACTCTTCTTCACTTAGAGAATATGCTGCGTAACATTGTATAACTCCCCAATATTTGAAAGGACTGAGTTTAAAAAAAAAAGGAACAAAGCACTTACAGGTAAGTACAATTACTATGCAAATCACAGGCACAAAATTCACATTATTCTAGAGTTTTTTCAGAGGAAAAAAAGGCAAAAAAGTTTACCTTTAGAGAGCCAGCAAAGCTCTTCATGGATGACTTGAGGACATTTCAAAGATCAGAATTAAGCCATCGCATACAATCACATCACTAGATTCCATTACAAATACTGTAGTATGTATGCTGCCAGGCCTATGGCATTCTTACCCATTCTGCATGAGCACCAATAACTGATACTCTGAAAGATGTACCAGTATATGGTTTTCTATTAAAATAATTTTTAAAAGATAAATATCCTCTGCAATCAAGATAGGATAATAAGCAATACAACAAGAGTCATTCTATCAAATAAGTACTGTACTGATTTTTCTGAACTAAAATAGTTGTCAACAATTGGTTAGTATATGAAAAAGAGTCTTTTCTTCTTCTAATAATATGCATTCAAAGTTCCATTTTAAGTCATCTTTTATTTAATAAATATACCCCAATATGCAGTAGAAAACACTTAAGTTACCTAAGGCTCACTGGCTCTTTGCTCTCACTGCTGCAATTGAGGAACACGGGCATTTCTTTCAGCCTAAGCTCAGACTGTCTTGCGTTTTCAAACTCACCTCCTCCTCCAAGAGGAACGGTTTTGTTGAAAGCAAATAGGAAAGCAAAGCGCCCCTCAAGCACTGTGTTTTGGCAGGTTCCTCCTAAGGTACTCAAGGACTATAGTCAAGTAAAGGAAATTCCTTCAAGAAAAAGCTAGACACACATCTCCTTTATGTGAGAACAGCAAAAGAAACCTGCTGAATAAGGCAGCAGTAACAACCCAAAAAGCAAGCGAGCAGTAGAAAAATCCAGCCAACTTCTAGAACACACATTTAACATCCAAAAAAATGTCAATCAGAACCACAAAGCCCACACTTGCATAACTACAATTAATATTTTAAAATGCAAGAGTTCAATTTAACTTCCAAGTAAAAGCAAAACTGGTATATCCTGGTAACATAATTCAAATACAGAAAAAATACGTACCTTGTTGAAATCACAGAGAATCTAAGTGAAAATGTAATGTGTGAGGTTTGTTTTTTATCATTTTATTCTTTAATCATTCATAAATTATTCTGTGTAATTTTAACAGATAATAATTGAAACAGGAAATAAAAAAATTTACAGTATGAGATGACACACACAGGTGTATGATGTCAGGATCAGAAAAGCAAAAAATATTTATTGGTACAAGATAAGCACAATGCAGGTGTAATATGCCAGGATTAGAAAAGAGAAATGATTTACTATTAAAAAAATCATAGTACTGGTTAAACAAAAAATGACTGTAAAAATMATTATGGACTGCCCCACAAGAGCTCCCACAGTTAAATGTTACAAATGCAAATGGACACTCTCTTCTTTAAACAAACACATTTGCTTGTTAACACTTGTATGTTATAATAGGCTTCTCTAAAAATATATATTTAAATGAGAATTAGAATATTCTATTTGTAAAATACTGTACAGCATATGGCACATACAGTTAGTGCATTTGAACCTGCTGTTTTACAGAAAAAGTTAATCTAACATTCTTTAAAATGCAATGTACGAATAAAATACGGACTTCTCCCTATCATGTAACATCAGTTGACACAGGGGTTTTCGTACTTTCATAAGCTGTAGCTCTTTGAAAATACCGTAATACCTGATAATTATGCTAGCCTAAACACAAACCAACTTGCTAAGCAAATGTATTAATCAATTGTATGTTTTGTACATTTCTAGGTTCTTTAAATGGGATGTTATTTTTTGCAATAAAATGAGATATTTTTCTTAGGTTTCAGGACTCTATAATAATACCAAAGAGTGGAACACTGCTTTTTGGCAAAGAAAAGAAGGTAATTTGAAAAAGAGTAATGCTGTAGTGCCTGGATTTAAGTTAACTTCGCTGGAACATTGAACAAAAAATATCGTTTTGAAGCTTTAGCTTTACCTAGTACAAGTGAATATTTGATTACAACATTTACCGACTAAAGAAAGCCTGCAAAATGGTTGCTTCGGTCTCTAGCTCCCCAAAGGTATTGTTTTTCAAGAATATCCCATCTAGAGTTTAAAACTTTTAATTCTTATTATAAATCCATGTTGCATAGTAATAAAGTATTTTCAACACAAAGTATACCTTGGCCGCTTTGGTTAAGAGAATAGGTTTTTACATCTTCCCTTTTTTTGGACACTGGAAATTCTGTTGTAAAAGGCTAAAAAAAAGATTAAATTATTTCTAATATTCAAAAGCATAGAAACAGACTAAAGAGTCTGCAGAGTAGCTTTCCCTTTTCACAAAAGAAAATGGGAAATGAAGTCAGACAAAAGTCAACACCAAAACCAATCGTTTGACCACAACTATTCCATATGTTCTGCCCATCCTTGCGTGGTTCACAGTCTAAGGCACTTACAGCAGCCTTAGCTCACCTACGCATTCTGTCAAGAGCCACAATTTCCATGTGGTTTGTTTTCAAAGACCTAAGTTCTCAAGCCAAGAAAAAGCCTGGCCTTTTCAAGAGTTTTCTGAAGCAAACCTGCATATTGTTTGAACTAAAGATAGTACACGGACATAAAACTAGCTTATTTTGCAAATTCTTTCTGAATGAAAAATTGCTTCTGAGCGCATAAGAATTTTCTTCACTACAATTTCAAATGTGAAGGACCATTCTGTTGAGAGAACTTGTGTCAGTTCCAGAAAGCTCTAGTGGGATTTGATACATCTGATGTGTCTGGTATACATAGATAATCACTATTAGTGTTCAGACACCTGGATTCCCTAGTTAACACTGGCTTTCATCTTTTCTAGAATGGCACAACATTACAGTAGATGAGAAAAAAATTGATTTCCCAAATCATTTAACTGAGTGTGTAACCAGCCCTCGCTTCCTGATTCTAAGGGTTCTTTTTTTGAATTATGACTACAGTTTACCTCTTCATTTATTATTCATGGTATCCAGAAATAATTAGTACATTGCTTATATCCTGCATAAAACCCTCATGATGCTGKGTTTTTAAGTGTAGACACATTTTGAAGAACTCTAGAGAATTGAAAGTTTCTTTGCATTTTCATTCAAAACCTTTTGCTGTTATGACCTTACACATCCATTACAGGGTTGCATAGAGAAGAATAAGAGATATGAATTTTCATATGTAATGATGTGATATCTGAAGCTTGAAGATCCACCACCAGAGAGTTTCAAAAAGCATCAAGCAACTATTGACACATCCCTTCAGAAGAATGTCACTAAGGATACTAAAACACCATGATATACACACGTACAGTAGACTGAAAAAAACCCTTACCATAGTTTTCCAATAGAAATGTCATGGTAACAAATTACATTTTAGCGGATATATCATGGACTCTGTCCTGAGGCAATTAAGTAAATGCTTCTCATAATAATGCACAATAACATGAACATCTGTGAGACTTAAAATTCATGTAGCAATCACTTATATGGACAACTGAAGGACAAGTTCCTTATTTCCTGCTGCCTGTGGAGTCAACAGCTGGCTTGCTTTGTTACAAATAGCCTAAGTCAAAAGAAGTGCTTGTCAGATATACACTTAAATCTGAGTAAGTTACAGGATCTGTCCTTGAGAATAACTCTCAAACCGTGCACTCCGCAAGAACCCCAGGCTAGTAATGTGAGCAAAAGCACCTCAAGACATTTTCTTTGTGTAAATGCTAAGTGTTCATCTTCCTTCTATAGAAACAAAAGCTGGGAATAGCAGCTGTTCCATAGCAACTCTAACTCTGAGAGCTAAAGCACTCGGAAAAGAAGAAAAAACACGCCCAGAATTTATATAAGCTAATCAAAATAGTCGTTTAAATTTTACCCATCTGTCCACTGTAGATTAGTAGAAACACTACTGTCAGTGTAATACAAAGTTCTTTTTTTTTTTTTCCTTTGGCAAGAGCAATTAAATTTAGATAGTTCATTTCTAATGTAGAAATTCAAGTACATTCAATTACACTTTGAAAGGTAGTACGGAGCCATAGATGAATGAAAATGAAATAAAACTTTTGGATTTTCTAAACAGATGACTTATTTAGAACCACAAACACTCAAATATATTTTTATAGGTAACTTCTAAGTTACTTCCGAAGTATTAAAAATATTACTCACAATTAAGGTGTCATCTCGTCTCATCGTAATAACAGTTCTATTGACTGTGCGCAACAACTGTACCATTATTTCTTGAATATGGTGATAAGTTGATGCCTGTAAATCAAAAATAAAACAGTTTTCATATTTTCATGCCTCCTGAAAAACACAGAACCCAATTACCTCTATGTGGACAGCTACTGCTTTTTAATGTCACCATCCTCCTGAAAGAATGAAAGAAACTGAAAGAAATTCCTGAAAGAAACTTATCCTGTTTGCTCACACTGATTGTTAGTCCCAGCAGGTGCGCTGGAATACTYATCTCAAGTGGCACAATCCAAACTTAGTCCCATTTACTCTGTAACTCATTTTTGTTTCAAAGAGCTGCTTCCTACTCCTCACTTGAGGGGCTCACATGCTTTACCACTAATTGAACTGGCTATAATTCAGTATCAACGTCCTGGCAATAGATAATGGAGTAGAACTGTATCACAGATTTCCACGTCATCCTCAAGACAGTCTGGAACTCAATAAAATACTTAGCTTGCAGTTGCCAAGTACTTAATCATTAGAAGAGAAAGGCATCTTTGCTTCAGTTTGCTGCTCTGTGAGGACACAGCAACGAAGATGGATTGCCAAAGAAGTACCAGTCCATCTGGTCAGCACAGAMACAGCCAGAGACCCATCATGTGTCAGCACCAAGTTTTTACCGACTTTCCAAGTTCACTGGCAAATATGACCARGTAGCATCAAATCATATATATACACCTGTCATGTTGCATGCAGAAAATATCTGCTTTTTTTTTTTTTTTTATACCAGGTAGTACAGTATCATCTTACACTTAACAAATTCATTACGTTTACTCTAATCACTAGACAAACTTGGGAAAATAGCAGGTAACATACTGCAGCACAGAAAAAGCCCTGGCTCTCATTTAAAGGTCTAGAAAGGTCGTTTATATTTGAAATGCCTTGAAATATCTATATTAAATTTAAAATGAAAAGCTACAGGAAACCTCCTCCCCAAATCAATTTGAATGATTATCAAAATAAATTCATTTTTTAAATCACTTGGAAAACCTCTGAGGTAAAACTGTACTTTTGCACAATAAAACATGATCTTTCCTTGTCTTAAAAAACATGATAAACTAAATTTTTCACACTTAAGCAAAGTTGCAATCAATCACTTCCACCTGCAAATGTGACTTCACTCTACAATGAAGGTTAATTATTATTATTCTTCCTCTGATTTTCAACAAAAGCAGCTGAATTCTCATGAACACATGTTAAAGAACTGAGTTGGCATCTTTAATCAGTTTTGGAGACTCCTGGAATGTAAAAGTTGGCCAAAAGGAAGACAAGTGGCATCCATCTAATGCTATCCCCTGAGCCCAGCTCATGTCCAGATAAGATACAGAGCTCAGAAAGAAAGCTCAACACCTAAGGAATAATCTAACCCTTAGGATTTTTTTCCTTCTACACTGAGGGAAGTTTTATTTTTAAATTCCAATTCTGTGGGTAGATCCCAGAAAAATGTTCAGAATGAACTGAAGAAGACAGACAGCCACAGACAGGCAGCTTCTGTAGCTACCTTCTACAAGGTAGGCTACCTTTACAAGTAATCCTAGAACTAAAATTGTTGCCAGAATTTCAGAGAGAGGTTGTTCTTATTCTCTCAGCTACTACTTATGTGAAACATTYACCAGCAGTTAATAATATAGTTTCTGGCTTTGCAATTTCCTCAGTATTAGAAAACAGAAAATATCTATACCACCTACTGTGTCTCTGAAAACTACTCAACAAAGTGGCATTTATTTAGAGTAACCATATTTCCTTTTAGTAGCTTTCTTAAGCATCTAGTACTTCAACTTTCTTCCTAAGTTCTATCTCTGACATGCAACAAAAAAAGAAAGTAGACATAAAAACAGAACCATCTTTTCCCTTTTTCTCCAAAGCCAGTAGCCCATACTCATACTCAAAATTTTGTCTGCAGAAGTACTTCCATATCTGGCCTAAAAAGAACAAGGGAGTGTCCTGACTAAATTCATGGATGAAAGGAATAAGAGATTAAATACCCCAAAAATCCTCTATATCCAGAGGACACTGAATGCAGAAATTCATCACTGGGATGCATTAAGATAACCCTATATGATAARCACAATAAGACGACATTCTGAAGGACTCCCCCTTAATTCTGTAATAAGGATCTGTTCATATAGTAGGTCTTTTTCTTTTAGCAGTTTGAGAGTTGTAAAGGTTTTCACAACAGAAGTCAAAACTGTGTATCCTTGGAACRAGATTTTTTTCCACACTAGCTAGAGAGCAAACATTCATAATACACTCAAGGGAGAGTCTGCACTGCCTTGGTAAGAAAGATAAATTGCTGTCTGCTGCCAGAGACACGTCTGTATTGAAGAAGCAATATGCTTCCTTTTGTCTTTCCTCCATCCTTCAGATAACTCGTCTTAAAAGTGGATTTTCCCTACTAAAGCAGGACAGAAATCTTGCATAGTTTAAGGAACAATGAGCTCATGACCTACATATYCTCTGCCAAAGAAGAAGAAACTGCTAGTGATAGCTGCACATTTTCTCTTGTAAAGTTACAAAGACTTTATGCCTTAAATGACATTTACCTAAACACATTCTAACCCCTGCTGCCTCTGATCAGCAATTATACTGCCACAAGGCATGACAGCAAATGTGTTCTCCTCAACAGAAGCATCTGGTTCTTTTGCTGATGTCCCCATTATTCTACAAGGTTTCCTACAATCAGGAATACAATGTCTCCAGAGGGGCTACCACATGCTGATACTATCACTGCTTTTCAATTCCAAGGGCCTTTTCTCCTTACATTAAAAATSTTAGTATTTAATGCAAACACTGTAGACAACTGCCACCCAAATATCCTACAGTATTTSCAGTTAGACAGTTATTCAATTGATTGAAGCAAGGCTTCTGTATTTGTTTTAAATCTAGCTTTAAATTCTACCAGGATATCACCGGTAATATGTTGCCTAAAGAGCTCCTGTTTATCATCATGAAAGACGCTTGTTGGCTACTTCTCAAGAACCCAAGCGAGACACCCTCTTGGGCACAGAACCCAAAATGATAATGTTCACTTCCTAAACTCAATTAATTATATCAGACTTGAAGACTTAATGGGTTTTCTTTTTCTATGCAGGTTTTGAATCTCTTCAGTTATGCAAATGAGGCTTTTATGTATAGTTAGACACCTTAACTTAGATTTTGTTAAGCTTTCATAAAGGTTTTTCTTTTATCAGAATATTTATGTTCTGCTGTACTTGAAATCTCTGTGGTAATTACCTCTACCAGTGGGGTTAATGGACTGATCCATTATGTAGTTTTTATACATCATTTTGTACAAATAATTCCATAACAGTAATTAGATTTAATTTTTAAAAAAACTCAAAGAAAGAATAAGTCCATACCTGTGAAGAATATAAACACCCATAAAACCTCTGGTCTCCAACTGTGCTTAGAAATACGCATCATATTATTAATGGGTTTAAAGAGAAAAAGAAATCTATTATTAAAGCTATAATTCTCCCTAATAATGAAACTCCATTTCATTCTAAATACAGCTAAGCATTTGCCATGTATTAAGGAAGAATTAACTTCTTGTTTGGGGGGGAAAAAAAGGGAGAAGAACTAGCCCATCTCTTTTAAAAGCTCTTAGCAACATCACAGTAACCAATGAGTTGTCACACTAAGACGTTTCCAAGGGAAACCTAAAAATGTCTAACGATTTCTTTTCCTATCCTTGAGGCATATACAGATTAACTCCTGCTCAGAACTATCCAAAATGAGCWGCAACCAACACCAAACCAACAAAAACCTTTATTTAAACAAATACAAGCTTCTGTTCAATCAACACTGCATTTCACAGGAAACAATTCAGATCACCGCCTGTCCCTCAAGCTTTACAGATTTTTCTAACATTGAAGGAGAAAAGTCTACGTACTGTCTACACAAGTCTACCTGCTGAAAAGGGTTGTTTTTCCTTAGAAATAGACACTTGAGGAATAAAAAGAATAAAATATCAAAAAAGACATTTTTAGAATAAAAAGGCATTTACTTCTTTGAAAAACACACCGATTTTCCACATCAAAGTGGATATCCCAGTTCCTACTCTTGGAAACTATGTAAATTAAAAGGAACAAAACAGTCTTCAGACTGTACATACATGCATGCACATCAAGCAACAACCATTGGACTTGCTCATACTGGCACACAGAGAACAATTACTGCTCCCTCATATAAACAGGAGCTGCAAAACCATCTCAACAGCACCTCCTAGTAGGAGCTGACAGAGCTATTATATTACATCCATCACTTCCACTACAAACAGCAASTGTTAGTTTGAAAATAAACAACCTATGTAATACGCACGCACAAACTATTAATCTATTTTGCTTTTCAGCTGCATTGTCATCTCTTAAAAGGTACAGTAACACAGTTGTTAWACTCTACAAACTCATCTGCTTAAACGCACTCTTTGCCCAAACTAYGATACTCTCACCATTTCTTTTATGAAYTCCACTTGAAATTCAAGCTTTGCAATAACTCGACTATCACCTCATAGGCATCTTGGCTAAAGTTCAAAACAACATGGAAAATGGCTCATGAAACAGGCAAAAAAAGATTCATCCTATGCAAACGGGAAAGTCTTCRCAGTTTCAAACTCTCAAGCATAAAACCAAACAACACTTAGTAATGACCCCAGTACTAGAAAATGACACCACGTTCCATACTCGAGAAAAAAGAATGAAATGAGAATGTTCCTTCATCCAAAGCCTGCTCCGTTTGGAGAGATGTATCAGAAAATACACTTCAAGATAAATGAGCAACTAAATATGGGGGGAATTACAGCTTCCCTACTGTAATTAACTCTGAGCTCTTCTCAGAATCAGATCCTCATATGATACTGAAGCTTCCCTGAATAATCTGTAAGTCATTAAAAAGCAAAACACTAAAAAGTCAGCTCAACATTCTCTCAAATGCAAAAGTTACCTAAACCGCAAATTCTACAGTACTGCCAAGCTATGGGAGCTCAAACAGGAAACAACATTCTTAAAATGAGATACAGTAAACAAGTAATGTTTTACTCGCACATCACTGAAATTAGAAAAGCGTAATTCACCACATTTGCACATTGAAAACATTCCCTTCAAAAACTGATTTTTTTAAAAGGAAATATTAAATATTTTTTAAAAGGAAATTACTGCAAATGCTTAGAAAAATAGTATTTATTCTGTCGATCTTTAACAGTCAGAACTAACAGTACCAGAACCTCTGACTGAATAAATCAATGCAGCTTCACTGTCTGTAATATTACTATACTACATTTACAGCAACTGACTCTCTAAGGAATATTAAATTGAGAAATAAAAAGAAATACCAGAGATTTCAGCATTTTACCTTTAATACCTAACTGCTATTTGATTTAAGCTTATGAAAAATAGGAGGAAAGTTCAATTTGCCACTGACTTGTATTAAAAATTCAAATGAGATTCATCAGTATCAATAATTTACAACATAATCAGCTCAGGCTTACTACAGAGTCGAGCCATGTACATTATCATCAATACTCACAGGGTCTTGACAGCTCAGAACCTCTAGGATGCTATTGAGTAATTCAACACAGTACTTCTTCTCTTGGACCTGGAGCTGCTGATCATCTTTTTGTTCCAGTAAGTCCTTCAGCTCTTTAGTAATCACAGGAAGCAGAATGTCCCTGCATTCTGAAAGTGGGAAAATAATTTTTAAAAATACAAAAACCAATTTGAAGTACAAAGATAAACCAAATATGTAAATAATCCTCCTCCAAACAGTGAGACACAATATGCTTGAACAACTAGAGTGAAATTACTGATTTCTCAGTTATGCCTCATAGATTCACCTGTGTGATATTTTTTGCTTGTCAACAGTATTTGTCATGTTTAGAAACAGAAACAAAAAGAAATCCAAAACCCCACCAAACTAAAATGCTTCAGTTAAATTCTCAAGGCTGTTTAATTTGTCCCAAGTTAACAACTTCAGATATGAAGCACCTGGAAATATGTCCTGCTTAAGGAGAGACGGAATTTAAACACAAGAGAAATACAGTATTTGGTTAGTTATACTTTGCAAATAGCAATTAAGTGTTCTACGCATACCATTGCTAAATTTACCTACTAAGAACATGGAAAAGACTACAGACAAATAAAGGATTTTGATGAAAGTTTTTTCAAGGTCATTTCCAAAAGTGACAGTTAAGCATAAATCTGTCCTTATTTAAATGTGGGGAAACTGATACAAAGAGCAAGTTRTATTTCTGTCTCCCACATACCTTGACATTTCGGGATAGAAGCTCTTAGGGAAATATCATGAGGACAAGATGCAAAAACTTGAAATAACATCAATGAAGCTACTTACTAACCAAGAGTAAAAGATAAAAAATACTTTAAGAGACCCATGCCACTAGGTAATTTAAATATCATCTTATGCAGCACAATCTAACTAAAGGGACTACACCTCAACAATGTAAAGAACACTAATCAAGAATTGCAAAAAAGACCAGATTTATAACAACCACCTGGGAAGAACTGGGAGCAACAAGCCACTACCTCCAAATAAAGGAGCTGGCAAAATCACATACAGGTAAAGAAACATTCAAGCCACAAACAGGGAACTGGAGTTCTTCCCCATTCTTATCCATGATGAGGAAGCTGGGAGAAGATTAAAGCCGAAGTATCATCTAAATTTTTAGTCAATAAACAATGTAATAAGAAAGATTTCCAGCATGATGATACATAYTCTAATATTTAAATACATGATAAAGCAACTGTTCAACTGCTTCCCTTTCCCAGAAAGGGTATGACATACATTGGGACACATCTTATCCCAGACTGTTTTGGGGCTTATAACACATCAACACCACTGCTTGATCACTGCTTGATCAATCCACATGTATTTCAGTAACATATAGCAAAAGAACATAAATTTCCTTAGGAATTTATCAGTCCAAAACTCCAAAATGCCTCCGAGAAGTTTCTTGACAGTATATTCCTGAACACAGGCAGGAATTTACATTCTGGTAAAAGATTGAGCCCMGTTGCATACAATTTTCTAATTTCTCTATTTTCCTCATGGAACTTCAGGTAAAAGAGATTCCAGAAGATATCTAATGATTTCTTTTGTAGCAGGTAAGTGAAACTCAAACACTATAAATCCTTAGTGCAATAATATCATTAGAAAAGACAASTGGATCTCCTTCAGGAAGGAAAAACAGTCTCAGGCAGGCTTTATTCCTAAATGTCTCATATGTGCAGCCAAAACAGTAATAAAGATTTAACATCGCTTTTGTCTCCCTTAGGAAACACTATTCTTGATTCCTTGGCATGCCTGTAGTCATATCCATCTGTCAGGATGGCCACGTGCCCACTTATATTGTGGTATGCCAATTTAATAAGGACATAGGTGTCATCTGAACACAGATTTAGGACAAAGTTTTAAAATAAAATCAGCAAACAATATCCTTTCAACAAGGAGAGCCTCCTTCCTCTGGYGGTCAGTGAACAATTAGAGCTTCCTGTTCCTTTACAAAGGCGGACAGCTGCTCACAACTGCAGGCTTCTTTCTATTAMAGGTTGCCTTCCTCCTCATTACTCACTGCTTAACTTCTGAACACAATAGCAGTGCAGAAAAATCATACACAGTTCACTTAGCAACTCTACATTCAAATTTCATGTCAGATAAGAGCTACAGGAAGAAGTACCATGGATGATTGGTATGGTATGATGGACCATACCCTTGGGCAGTACTGAAACCTCTCTCTCCTGGAATCTCACTCCACCACAAGGAAGAGAATCACAGCAGAGGCATCTACCTACCAGCTAAAAGGGATATCTTCAAGTTTATCCTCTCCTCACTGGAGTGAGTAAACCATGAATTCGAAAGGCGGCCACAGCAATATCTAATACTACAGCACACTGGCACAAGAACAACTCTCTTCCATTCCTTTTCCCATCTCTTCAGATGATAGACAGTCCGCAGACAAGATAGTCTGTCGGGCTYTGCAGCACATCTATTCTGGCAGATTTAAAAGTTTGCCTTGCTTTTAGACAGACAATGTTGATGATTTCCAACTAACACTTTTCTAACTKTCTAACTTTTAGTATAAGCACAGAATTTTTCTAAATTAAGTAGTACTTTTTAATCAACTTGTGACGTATTTGTTCTGTTTTCTAATTTAAATGGTTGCAAACTAGTGAGTTTCTAAATATKATTTTAGAATAAATTTACCATTAAAAAATCAGCATCCTGCTAATTTCATACAATTTTTGCTCAGAGATTTTCTTTTATTATAACCGAAGTACTGCTACAATGATTCAAGACTAATGAAGCCAGTGACACATACTCCTCCATTAACAGAAGAAACTAATAGCTTTTGCCGTAACACTGCAAACATTTCTACAAGACAAACCTGCATTTCCTGATGTATCATGTCTCTTATGTAATAATATCAARTTTTTAAAAAAAGATTCAAAAGACATGAAAGTATAAGTCATTATGTTTCCATTTCTTGAAACAGAACAGCTTASTACTTTTGCTCTCCTATATAATCAACACCAGAAGTTTCAGGAGGGTTCAAGCGTTCAAGTGAAAGAATCAGCACACTGTACTGCTATCACATTCAGTTACTTTTGGGAACATCCTTTGTCTTGAGCTGTCATACATTTAACTTGCATTGGTTTACAACAGTATTAGATCAGTGTAATAAATTGTATATATAAGCACACATTTTGTTTAAACAATACTGCAGTAGTATGAGCTGTGCAATACAAAAGAAAAAGAATACAAAAAGAAATTAGTAGTGTCTCATGGTTTCTTCTGGCACTCTGACAAATTAACCCCTAGTGTTAACATATGCCTTCTACATATGTTCTTGCAGAAATCAGCAAGTGGTTTGCATATGCTGAGCATGTAGCAGATAGGTCTGCAGCCACAGTGAACAGAGGCCCAGGGTTTAGAGCCAAGAGACCAAAGCTCTATCCCCACCCCTACCAGTGACCATCTGTGTGACCTACTTAGGTTTATATTCCTTGGAGCAGCTTTTGCCTYGCTGTGCTATGCTACAGCACAATCAAATTCCTAATTGAGGCTGGACTTCTCAACAGCACTAAGTCAAAAGTGAATATGTTAACACACACTTTGACTGCTTTAAAATATTTYTTAAATGCTTTAGTTTTCAAACATTTCATATTCATTTCGTACCCATAAAAAAAATCCTTCCAAGGCCAACTGGATTATAAATTGCAACATAATTATGACAGTGAATATTCCATGGTCAGAGCTCATGTTGTAGCGTAACACAAGCTGCCTTCACAAGGGTTCATTTTATGTTCCTATTTCACCATGCAGCTTTTAAATGGATTGAGAGGACACATACAGATACATCAATTGAAATACTGTCTCATAGGAGGGACACAAAAAACTGCTCCTCCAAGACTCAGCTCTTCTCGTTTTTAAATGAGCAACCATGTTTCTACACGGTAGTCATTTTGCAGAAATTGGGCAATCTTCTTCAGAAGTAGGACTTCTAAAATTCACTCTCCCCAAACCTCAGGTCTACTCAATTTCAAACACCTGTCAACATATTTATTCCTACTTCTTACTTAYTTATTCCTAAAGACAGTTTATACTCACCTTGTTTTTTGAAAAGGTTGCTGCGTACTATTTCCTTCATGGACTGCACCTTCTGCTTCTGTAGTTTCACAGGTGGAATGCAAGTGTAAAATTCATACAGCAGTTGGCTGAACATAAATGGAAAGTCACAATGTCACAAGTAATATAGATTAATCATATGTTATTAATAAAGATAACAGGAGCAAAAGAAAATATACTTCAAGCACWTAAGACTTATTTTTATTTCTTTTATCACATTGAGATTAATAGCAGGTTTTAAAGAAACCTTCAAGCAGAAACAAGATCAACAAGATTTTGGCTCTATTTGCTAATGTTTATTACTTTCCATTTCTTCCATGCAATACAAATATTTTTGTACATGGGGGATCAAAATAAAGACATTTATTTCAAAATATTAAAAATATTGCTTTTCTGGAATAGTACTACCTAGGGAGGGAAAAAAAGATATATTGCTCACTTGCTAATTCCAATGACTGAGTTAATGTGAAAGAACTGAGTCTCAATACTAAATACTATGACTGCACAAGCAAGATTAGAGCTCCTTTGGCATTGGAAACACCATCCGATACATCTACTAAATGTTCAAACACAGCTTACCTCAGCAGCTTGGCATCAAAGACAGTTTCAACATCATGAAGAACGGATGGTATGTACTTCAAGGCAGCAACCTGAATTGGAAAAGAGATTGTGCCTCTCTCAGAAGTCTTTCTATATGCAACATAATACAGAGAACAAAYTGTTGAAACATTTATACAAACCAAACTATGGTAATTTGGACTTTTCCCTTCAGATTCAAAGTTTGCACTATGCAGAGGATATGCAGAGGAATGTAAATAAAAGTATCAAGTGGTTCATATTCTCTTTGTAAACCAAAAAAGGACTTCCATAAACGGGACATAGTGAGCATGACTACAAAGCATATATCAAAGTAAGAATTCTCAGACATCTTTGGTATCCGCCGTCCCAGAAATGGACCATGAAAAAGCTTAAGTAAAATGAAGAAATGTTAAACATGTTAAACACCCACTGGGCCATTACCTACACTTCTCTTCACTTAGCTTTTGTATATTAAGAACTTCCTACCATGATTTTTATGTCAACAAAATGGTCTGTAAATTTATCTTTCCTTAACAAGAGCGTATTTTTCTAATACTTTACACAGCCCAAAGGACRTGCCATACCTCTCAGCCAAAAGATGTTGTAATAGATATAAATAAAAAATACATTTCATGGATTTACAAATATTTTTGATTAAATTCTACATGATTTACCAAAAAGGAGAAACTAGTTAAATCAATACAGAAMTAGGGCAGGACATGTGGTTTTTTTCCCTTGTCTCCCACTTTTCTGTTCGCATATCTACCATGTAACAGTAGGCTCTTTTGACAGAAAGCATGGGAGAAATTCATATTTGCATGTGGCTGCAGAGCAACACTAATCATTTTCAAGATGATCTACTTCTCCGGATCAGGATGAGGGATTTTCCTCAAGTGAGAATCAGAACGTCTTCTTCCCATATGCATTTGCATATATCTCCAACTATCACCATAGTATCAATTCTATGCCATCGTGGAACAATTTTAGACAAAAACTGTAATTCATGATGGCAGCAAATATTAACCAACAACTAAAGAAAAGTTTCCCCAAAAGATTTTCAGAGCATCTTCTCCTTAATAAAAAACAAACAAAAGCATGAAACAAATTAAAAAAACCCACAGTGTTGTTGCCATTCTCACCAACCTGCAGCAAAATGGCTGTTTTATGCTGACTTTTCATCAGGTTGTTGATAGATTCAAAGAGTCTCCTCATAGATTCCTCAAATTCGGTTTGCTCTTTGCCTTCATATAACCTGTTGAGGGTTGCACTGTGTTACCATTTCAGGAACAGAGAGCATCATAGCTCAGCAAGAAATAGGCTCCTAGTACTGAACAGAAATGTTCAATCTCTGCTTATTTTGGTCAGAAGCCATAAATATACAAGAACAATTACTACTTGCACAACGTTCTGCAAACACTGCTAAAACTATTTATTTTATTACAAAACATACTGCAATAGCTTGGTTTACCACAGTTGTTGGTACCTTCCATCTGCTGCCAGACTAAGGATAAAATGGGAGACAAAAGGCTTCAAAGCAACAAATTCTGCCTTCCATCTGCATTGCTAGTCAAATGAGTACTTACTGTGAAAATAATTTCCTTGACCTAACAATGAATTTGAAAACATATTCCAGAGCTTTGAGAGTTCTCAGGATTGGTTCACATTGCTCTCCTCGGCTAGAAGTATCCAAGTAAGTTTTCAGAACTGTCATTAATTTCCTGAAAGAAAAAAAAAAAATTCTTCAAATGATATTCTTAAATTCATTTTTCCAGCTAGTTTGGCCACACTAAATAAACCTTCATGCTTAGTCAAGCAGAAGAGAAAATCATGCTACACTTAGTTTTGTGTTGGTTAAATAAGCTCTCAGCGTAACACAAATAAAGAGAATGTTCTTAACTGTACAAGTAAGAAAGCAATCTCCTATCTCAAAATAGCAATGTAATTCACGCAGTCTCTTTCAGCTGTGATTTAGAGCCTTCACAAAGCTTTTTTAAGAGTCAACATGGCTCTTAGGAAAGTTTATAATATACACGTACAAAAGGTTATTTTTGCCTACCACGTKGAGTACATGAAGCAGAAACCCCATGATTAAACACTACTGTTTTATCTAAATTAACTGAATGCTAGTACAACCACCTCCTGAAAGACTACAGTATGCCTAAGGTATGTATGTGGGTTACATACTTCCATAATTTCTATTATAAGAGAACTTAGGCTATACCTAACCTTCCTGCAATAATAAATTCAAGAGCTCTTCTGAAAAAGGGAAAACAGAAGTTACTTTTGACCAAAATAAGCTCCAAATTGGGCTTAAATGTCCCCATATTTATATACTAACAGTGTCCATCTTAAATGATGAAATAGATATTAATGATGTTTTATCTTAACCAAGTCACTATTCTAAATACTGCACAGGTTACACGCCGCTCTGTTAACTGATGAATAAATCCTCCGCACCAACTTAACTCCAATTTTGGATGAAAATAGCCAGCTTGTCGTCACTTTTCCTCATACATGATACATCCGTGTTCTAGCACCCCATCATTTCAAATTGCTCCTTTGTATTGGTCCTCTGAAACTGTCCCTTTACAATAAGTTGGAAAAATGTCACCTAGTAATTTTTTTTTCAGTATCAACCCACCCAAGGAGCATCAATGGTCTGAAGGTTAAGTCCCTTCTGAAGTCTGTAAAAGCTAGATGCAAATGGGTGACTAAACAGAAATSAAACAAAGACCTCACAGTTTGGCCAGAATTCCATATCACTGAAGTCAAATCACCTATTAGGAAGGACTTCCAACAAATCACCCTTGCTCAGCTGAATGACAGGTTCAATTAGCCTTGTCAGCAGCACCTCATAGGGGGCTCAGCATTCAGTTTTATATACAGGCTCTGAGAAATCTCTTCCCGCTACATTGAAAACAAGGATAATTAGCAATGCATCATTGCCAGCAACAGAAAAAGCCTACTTCGCCTCTACCATGCAATGACCTGAGTCCATCTACCGCTAAATTTGCAGCACATTTCCACATGCTGTCAGTTGTCATGCATCACACCCTAAGCTTTTTACTCTCCTTTCAAATCTCCTGTGGTGCACACACTACAAAATCTTRTGTTGACTGGGTACCTACTGCGTACAAAGGATTGGTGAAGAACATCTGATATGACAATGGCCAGTTCTCTGCTGGTAATATCTAATATCAAWTTCTCCTAAAAAAAACTATTCCATCCATGTCTGATAAATATAAAAGAAAAACTCAGAGCAGCTCCTCTTCCACTTGACAGTTTCGGCAAACCGTAGCTTTTGTTCTCCTCTGTGCTGCAGTGCCTTTCCCTCTGGGCACATCTAGAAACTCTGAAAACCGAACTCTTTCTCAGATTCTGCTTCCCAACTGGCATGGCCACATAACAAATCTGAAGACAGTCGTTCACAGTTCTGACTCCTGAAAGCTTTCTGGTGGCACAACAAAAGATCTGACAGTTCCCGAACAGATTTTTGCCATGAGCTTGTTTGCTGAAAACAAGACATCCTAAGGATATTCCTTAAGTATCCACTCAGGCTTTCAGGTCCCCATTTAAGATCAGAAATGTTAAGAAAAAAGCCTTAGACCAAAGAATCTTCTCACAGTGATCAGACAGTGTAATTCAGAAAATTAAAACTTATTAGCAAAGATGATCAATTAATATCAAGTAAATTACTACTTTTTTGGCCATTAGCTTTACTTATAATCTCGTCTCTTTCCAGGTAAACAAACAGCACAAAAACAAAAGCATCATTAACTAACAGGGCCAAACCAAGATTTACTTGCTCTTGTAATGAAATGATGAGTTTTAAAAAGGAAAAACAAACAAAAAAAAGCACAAAACACCGTGTACTCACTTGTATGCCAAAGTTGCACTAAAATGCTGTTGGATATATGCTTCCAAAACAGTGTTGAAATGTTGAAATTTGCGGTCTGCAATGAGTCCTATTATATATATCTAAACAGAGATGCATACGATTTTTATTTATTACAAGGTCAAAAGTATCAGTCTCCTCACAAATTTATGATAATATTTACCAATATTTATCTYCAGAGTTTTAAGAGAAATTTGCTTTTCAGTCAAATATTCCTATTCTATTACTTAGACTGTAATACTAGTTATTTGATACAATCTGATGGCTCATCTACATTCATTTCTTTACTTAGACATCTTAAACCTTTCAGTGCTAATTCTTACCAGTGCATCAAAGACAAGGATGTCATACTCATTACTGTGGGAATGTTCCATCATGATGTTAAACAGTGCATCCAGTGTATCTTGGAGAAACTGCACAGTAACAACAAAAATATGAAATGACAAATTAGCAAGCAATTTTGCTTTAAGGCCACACAACTGTTCCAGAGAGAAAAACTTCACTCCTTAAGCTAGAATTTTAGAAGCTTTTACTAAAATATCACTTAAATTCAGAGTGGACTTCAGTAGTTTTAGGCTCTAGGTTCTTTATTTTTAACACCCTAAATCCTCACCTCAATTCAGAATACACCTCAGAGGATTTAGGCTCTCATTTCTTTAATTTAAGACTCTAAATCCTCAGACCTAAGAAATCAGTAATATATGCTTAGCTCAAAGCTTATGGAATTACGCTAAAAATACATAATATTGCAGATAAATATCTGAAATAAGATTTCTTGTTCCTTAATGATATAGTTTAATAGTTGCTACTTTCATCCTCTGGAGATAATTAAAAGCACACTTCCTACCTGTGCAACCTTAGATTCTAAGCCCACTTCGAATCAAAGATAGGGTTCTCATTTACTTCGCAACTAAAACTTTGGTTCAAAATTTCTTTTTGTTGGTTCTTCCTCTTTCTCAAGAGAGCAATTTCTTACTCTATATTTAAAGAATAACACAAAAATAACCCAATCCTAATGTGAAGGCTGATGTCTGCCATTCTTCAGAATATTACTAATTTTTTACCCATACTTCACGCAATAGGTTAACATAGCATTATTAGACTAGATACATCATACATTTTGAACTTTTAAAATCTACATTTATATAGTATTAAGGTGGTATAAATCTTAATTATACAAATATTTTTTCTTTTAAGAAGGTATCAGATAGAAAAAAAGCCAACAGTAGAGCAAATAAACCTTAATCAACATTGTGGACAACGTTTAATAATTATTATTGCCCTCATATCCTATCTTTACTTTTTCTAAATGAAATTGTATGTGCAGAACAAACTCAGAATTCATTTTATCTACGATATGTAATTGGGCATCAGACCMAACCACTGATGTCTCCGAACGGGATGTCTCTTGAGACTGACTTCTGCATTCATTGTACAAAAATTGTGACATCACAAAACAACAAAAAGTAACAAGAAGCCCAAAATTATTTACCACAGATACCTGGCAGATATCTAGCTAACCACAGCAGGCTGTCCATCAGTAGCCAACATCATACGTGTTTGGGAGATACTATTAAAAAAATCTTGAAAAGGCTAACAGTATAATCCTGTCCAGATGCTTGCTTTCTTGCTCCTTCTCTAAATGTTGACCTTGGATCACACCATTGCAAATTATCATTAATGAGCAGACAAAAGATTTGTTTTTTTTTTTCTTTGTGTTGACCAGTTGAAGCACTACTGCGAAGTTCTCACATCACTGTGTTCTACCACTCACCAGTGCCCATATAATGTTACTTCTGCTGAACAGCAGTATCTTGTACTAAGGCAGTGCCAAAGAAGTGTAAAGGATGCCTTTCTCATCAAATCTTGCCTGTAAAAGCCTAGCCCCCTATTAAGTGAAGAGTAGCACCTAGTCCTCTATAAGTACCTCCTTGCATATATTTTTTTTCTTTCTAAGCACTAAAATAGGTCATAGATTTAAAGTGAAAATAGAAATCAGAGCCGTCTTTGATAAAAGCAAGGCAGGTAATTAAGAAATGTAAAAGATAAGCAAGAGCAACAGCCATTAGAAAACATCCTAGTGCTTTGGCCAAAGACTACAATATCACAAGTTTTATGCCTTAACATGTATAACAAAATGTTCACTATTTCAAATCTTTCAGGAATAATTTCCTAAAACAAGTGTGGATAGATGGCAGATATCTAATACTAGAATATTAACCACAGCACCCAATAAACAAAAGATCTAGCATTTATGGCTACGAAACTAAATTAACGCATATTTTACAAGTAAGTTAAAAAATCAAGAACATACTTTCATAAACTCTGATTAAATCTAAGAGCAGATATCATTTAGTAATTTCTTCCCCTCATTTCATATAGGTTAGCAAAACAGTGTCAGAGATAAATCTACCTTAAACTGGAGCACAAAGCATTACTTAAAAAAACATCTTTCAAATTATTGGCATATTTCACAGCACTCCTATTGTAAGTGCAGTCTACTTGACAGCACAAAACAACTAAAAACTGAAGAACCAAGCAGAACAGAAAGAACTATTCCTTCAAAGTTCAGTCAGCCAGGCTAAACCAAAAAGAGGAAAAGCAACAGTGGATTGCTCCATCAAATTGATAGTCAGTACTAAGCTCGATACTTCTCTGTCTTTACCACCATTAATTTATGTTTGTCTGCATAAAGATAAATACATGCACCCATACATAGATATGCACAAACATCATGAAAATAAAGCACTATGTAAGGTGTATGTATGAAAAGCAAAACCTCAGTAAGAGCATTCAGAAAAAAAAAGTGTTTAAAATGGTTGTCGACTATCTGCAGGGTCCCAACAGCAAAAAAACAATATACCTTCACAACCTCCTCTCCATCCACAATCTTCAATTTTTCCAAGTTTTCCTGTAGCAGCTCTGGCTTCATACGCCACTTCAGAAGACCTAGTAGGCCCACTAAAAAGAACAGATAGACAGATACTCAAGTTTTACATTTTATTTATCATTTGTGCAAAAGTGCTGTTCTAACATTTCCCCTTTCAAAATACATACCATTTTGAGTTAACTTTGTAGAACAAACAAGACTTGAAATAAAAAACGCATCTCGTGAGCTTACTGAAAGCCCACCTACAATACTCGAGTTCCTGCCTATAGTTGCTCCTTTACTTTCTGAGTGCTGACGTGTGGAAGGTAATGTCAAATAAGCACTGGCATCTTCCATTTTTTTACTATCACCCTGAAAAACAGCATACCATTTATTACACGTTTTACAACACTGGATATACAGGACACTCAGCGAGGAAAAAAAGCCATGTTTACATGTGGTTCTATTTTCGTTAAAATGCAACATTCTAGATATTTTCTAATCTAGAAAATGAACCAATGTGTTGATGAGGTCAGTCACTTACCGCTATGACAGATCTGATTCAGTAAAGCATACTATTCTCTTAAAACTGCAAGTAGTCCTAAACAAGAAGCTACAGAAAAAAGATCATCTGGTTTTCTAATCACTTAGTTTTTACGTGCTTCCGTTAATGTACAGGTTCTGTTTCTATTTTCCACCAAACAAGTAAAAAAGGAATGACTGTAAAGATATCTAGACAATTAGAASACAAAACATAGCAAAACTGACAGTATAACTAACTATCACCATTTAGAATTTTTGGAACCATAAGAGCATCTTCACTTTCCTTTCTTAGGAAAAGTTAAAGAGACATGAGAAAATAACCTGAAAAATGGGATCCAAAGTCTATCAAAAAGAGTGAGCAACAGAAGGTAGTGAAAATAATGCAAATAGTTTAAACCTTGCAATTTTTCACTGACTTATTTTGAGGAGCCAGATGCACAACTGTTTAAAAACATTTACAGCTTCCAATTGCTGTATTCCATTCTGGAATAGACAAACATATGTCAGAAAATCTGTCCATTCCTCCAAGGATAAACTAGGTCAACTCAGCTTGGCATTTATTTCCTATATGCTCTCGCGTCCATAGAAACTATAGCATCGATATATATCGAATATATTCAATATATAGGAATATATTTGAGGGATTTTTGTAACATTAACCAGTCATTCAGACTGATGATCAGAATCCTCCAGAATAAATATATATATATCAGCTTTATTATCTATKAAGGAAAAAAATAATCATACACTGGTTAATTAATCTGTTGAACTATCTGAACAGTTTCATTTGCTTGTATGTATGCCACTTGCTAGTAATGTGGTATCAAACCAGTTAATTAAGACGGCTGAGAAAAAAAATAAAGTAACTGTTCTAGTAAAACAGCCATGTTTTTAAAGGAAAAACACAATAAAGACAAAACACATGCACTTAAGATCATCTGCTTCCTGCTCTGATATACAAAGTAAAAAAAAAAAGCTATCTGTTCTAGGCTGATCAAGAAGAATATCCTTGCACTTCAAAATCAAACACATGAAACTTCTGAGTTTTTGGTTTTGGGTTTTTTTTTTTTTTTTTTTGTATGTAAAGACATTATAAAAGCAGTTTCAAACAAATTATCTAAGATTCCTTAATTATTTACTTTTCCTCCTTGTTGTCTGAGTGACAACTTCCATACACATCTTGAGTTTTGCCATGATTTCCTCTATATTAGAAAATGTTACAAGCATTTTAACCACATGAAAAAGAGCAGAAAGAGCAGTTATTTCCTCATTATTTTTGATACATCCAACTGCGATTAAAATTTGGAGTAACTTTCAGCAATCATGAAAGAAACTATATCAAACCTTTTCTTTTTTTCAAATAAAAGATCTAGTATTTGCTTTGATGAAATAATAAAATGTTACTATCATTAGAAAAGCAAACAAGACAGTTAAACATCACAATTGCTTAACACAGTGTTAAAAAAGAGCTAATAAAAAAAATTGATTGAATCAATACCTTCAGGACTAACAAATCATGGATGCCATCTTGAAGAGTTGTTCCATCTTCTTTCATCAACCTTATGTAAGCCATTGCAAAATTCTTTTCTCCCTTATCTTTAGCTGTAAAGTAAAATAACACTCCCAGTTGTACATCAATCAATTAGAAGTCACTTAAGTAAAAAAAACCCTACTTACATTCTTGAGATGACCTGTGCCTGAACATGAAACGCAAATGTATCCTCTGCATGTCTTCAATTGGGACTGCTACCTTTTGTAAAAACAGAAAATAAGGAATAGAGTTAGGGTAAGAAAAAGGTGACTTAATGCATTTGATCTTAAGCTTCTTTTTTCAAATAAGTACTTGACACTCATGTAGGCCATGTAAAATCTAATCACCGTAATGGAAGAGATTTAAGAAAATTATCTATAAATCTTTGCTTAAAGTCTAGCACCAAAGAAATGCACCACGGAACCCAGCAAGTTAAGGCAGATATGCTTGCATACTAGAAGATAAAACACGCTACAGTTGCAGTTGCACTCCTTAGTGTGTTAACCATGTTATGCAATTCCTCAGTATTATAAATCTTCTACATTCATACAGATAACTTGACTTTTATTTTAATCTGCTTATGAGATTGGTAGGAAAATTTCAGCACTATAAATTAAGACCATTTTCAAGACAAAATTAAGTCAGTTTCAAAGACTTGAACAGAATCCCAAAGAAGTATGGCTGGTTTTTCTTAAAGTAGCACACTTGTAACAGATATACGAGGAAAAGTGTCTCCCAATTGTCTAATAAACTCCAATTTTTACACTAGCAAGTTGTAAAACTTGGAATATCTGAATCAACACACTTGGCATTTGCTAGCCTAAACACCCGATACAGTTCTTAATGTAACTCCTTTCYATTACATTACCTTTACATTACACTATTTAAAAGGAACTGCTGCTAACGACTCGAAATAAAAATCCAAAATGTAGCCAAAATTTAAAAAGAAGCAAGTATGTTAAGCAAAATACATTGCCTGTCAGCATTTTAAAAGATACAGGTTTTTGCTCCAAATGACCCTCCGCTGTCCGCTCCCGGCTCATGCTCAGCAATACCACTGAGTAATTGCAGGCTTATTCTAGCAGCATCATCTCCTATGTGTCCTTCAAGCAGTCGTGCTTACCAGCAAACAGGGGCATGCTTTGTAAGAACCTCTTTTAGCAGCTTCTGGGCATTTTCCAAACTGACATTAAAGATAGATTATGCAACTAATCATGTCTCCCTAAAGAAACCCAAGACAGTTATTACCAAAAATTGTATTTTTCAGATTTTTTTCTCCACGGCTTCAAGCTCATAGCAGCATTATTTTACAGCTGCACAACAAATACAATACTTCTTTTTGTGATGAGGCATGTTAGGGCACAAGGTTATCTAATATGATCTCATTTGTTTTGCTACACAAAATCTTATTTTCTAGGCCAAATTTTCAGCTTCAGCAATCACATATCCCTAGTAACTGATGTATGAGTATGGCATCTTGCTTCCAGCGCTGTTCAGGCCCAGTGCTTATTCTTTTTCCGCTGTAAAGTTGCACAGCATGAGCTTGCGGGTTTTTTTTTTTTTTTTTTTTGGTTTTTTTTTTTTCTTTTTAGTGAGGCACTGACAAAACAGCCAAAAGGGGAAAGTGCAAACCGTGTGAAATACCTTTAGTGTTTCCATCCAGCGGGGCTGCTTAACCTGGTAATAAAGAACTGATCGATACTCGCTCACAGGCTTGTCCCCGGCTCCCAAGCAAACGGCACTCTACCAAAAAAAAAAAAAGTGTTTATTAACCTACTGATTTCTGCGAGTTTCTGCGTTTTTAACTAACAATAATAGCGATAAAGGAGCCGCGGCCGCCCCGGGGAGCGCGGCCCCGCGACACGCAGCGGCCTCGCCTCAGCGCCGCCTTATGCCGGGCGGCGCCGTCTGCGCCTGCGCGGCGCTTCCCGCCCCTCGCGGCGCGGCGCCTGCGCCATGGGGCCGCTCCGTGTGGTAAAGGTGGGGGAGGTCGCTGAGAGAGGAAAAACTGCAGGGCTGTTTCCTCGCTGAGGTTGTAATAACCGAGGTGGACTCAAAATTAATTGAAAAACCATGAAAAGGAGCTGTGATCCAGTGCCTTAGAGGGATTTTCCGTTTCTCTTGAAAGACTGTGTACCAGAAGTAACAGAATTATTTGGCTGTGAACTCTGCGGAATTCCAAATGAACACATACATGAATACTTCTCATGCCTTTTCCATTTACCAAAATTGAGTTTGTTACCTAGTTTCTATTACTGTATTTCTAGACAGTCATTGTCACAATAGCCTGTTCTATGGTGACTTAGCAAGTACTTGAAACATTTCTTTCTTCGTACTTCCAGTTCTACCTATGTCCACAACTACTTCAACAATTCTTTACTCAAATGTTCACACTCCAACAAGCTACTGTGTTCAGATGAGAATCTGAACTACAGGACAGACCTAACTACAGTTTTAATCAAGTTGGCCAGAGGTTAATTAACAAGGGAGCCACATTGGCTTAGTTGTCAGGTGAAGGGAGCAGAGTCACATCAGCTGCTGGGCTGGACAAGGCCCCTGGTGCGCAACAAGGCCCATGCCCTCATGCCCTCACAGCTAACCCAGTGGCTTCTCTAGAGGAAACTAGGMCACTAAACCCTCCATGGCAGGCACAGATGAAGCTAAAACACATTTGTTATGCAGCGTACTGCAACGAAGGGGCTGTGAAACATGGAAGTCTGCCTGAAGCAGCAGGAAGCCTTCCTGGCTAACCAAGCACTCAATATCTGATGAGGAAGCAGTGGCTGCCAGGGCAATAGACACCCATCTACCCTACGGAGCCCCCCAGAGCTTCAGGCACCAGTAAGCAAGTTSAAATGGGTTATGGGACACTTAGAGCCAACCCCATTAATGAATGCAAATAAGTTCAAAAAATGTGTTGGGGTCATAGATAACACAACATGTAGAAGCACAGAACTTGGTATCCATTTGTGGATGTGGAAGTGTATTGATTTTTTGTGAGCTAATGGGGAAAATCTGTTCACTATCAGCATCCAGCAGCATTTAAATATTGTCAAAACTGTTGCTAAAACATATCTAGGTGTAGTTTGGTAGAGAAAGTGCATGTGAACATGTATTTCTAAGGGACAATTTTTTTTCCTAATATTTGGGGAATAGATGCATTTGTATAACTAGGCAGACATAGTATTGGAATGCAAGATTTATATAAGTGACATTTTATTGCATTATGGTAAGTTAATTTAATTGAGTGTTTGGGCAGATATTTTTCAAGTACCTTAACTGTGAGTCATGAAATGCAGTCTGTAACCCAAGTCTGTTTTACAGCTGAGGAGCTCTCATGACCTGCACATGCATCTCTTGCAGGTAGCTGTTTTCTTAGTGGTAAGTAAAAATTTCACCATCATGATTACAATTTCTTGCATGGATTATATACGCTATATGGTTTCAGCATTTTCTTCATTCTAACTTGGAAGCTACATTTCAGGTCAAGCATTTAACTAATTTCATAAACACACAGTCATTTCAGCATGTCACTAACCATTATGGGTTTCTGCATGTTTATTTYATCACAAGTGCCGTTATGATTTCACCCTCATGGCTTCAGAAACCAGCTCAAGGAGGAAAGACTTAAAAATCCCTCTGGGCACTGGGCAGGTGTTAAAAAGCCTTAGGGAAGAGACAAAGGCTCCTCAAAACAGAAAAAGGCATGCACAAAAGCACTGTAAATATTTATGTTGCATATGTGCAGTGTCCACATTATTCTATTGGCACTAGTTTAGCAATTTACCATGCAGCTCATTCATTCAAGGGATAAAATGGCCCAAATCAACAGTGAGTTGCATAAGAGATATAGTATTTATAATTTTTTTTTTTTGTTAGCATTCGTCCAGGAATTTGCACAAGAAAAAAACTTGGACTATAACTGCAGGAATTGTCAGAAGCAGCATTTGATCTGTTTGTTCATCAGTCAAAGCTAAAATAGGTCAGTGTTATCTCTCCAGTCCATCTGTTTTATGTGTTCTGTTGAAGATATGTCACTTTAAACATCATAAAACTCAGCAGTAAAAAGGGAATGCAAGTGAAGACTGAGTTAACATCCAGTGGTATCATAGGAAAGTATGACAAGTTTAAGGCTTACTTTTAAAATATATTTTAGGCTTATATAGCCATTATTTAGAAAAACAAAACAAAACTTACTGGTATCACTTTTCCATCTTCATCACAAACACACATTATCACTTCTACATTTCTCTGAGTTGTTTTATTGTATTTATCAAAATCTCCAGATAGCAATGTAATGTAAATGTCATTTCTTATATCTCCTACAAGAAAAATGAAAGGTTAAAAAAATGTGAGAACACAAAGGACAGGGTCAGCTGAACTTGACAAAAGCACCTGTTGTCCTGCAGTGCAAAGTAAACAGTCATATTTTCCATCTGAACTTTATATTTCCAGCTGTACTATTTGAGAGGACAGCGTAAAGCAAAAGAAACGGTGTCCTGAATGCACCTAAAGCTCATCCTGCACTGACACCTGCTGGCGAGGCGACTTCAGGATGCCTCACCATTGCTGGATTTTACCCAAATAGACCTAATTTTTTCTTGTGAGAAAATACGACATGCAAGAAAAAAACCTTTAAGTCAAATCCTGATACTTTTACAGGACTGCAGACCATAAATGACTTGAATTGGCAAGAATTTTATCATAATTCCAAAAAAAGATTGTAAACTCACATTGGTGCTGAATATTTAAGGAAAGTAATCATTTACAATAAAAATAAGGTTAATTCAAGATTCAAAGAATCGACTAGAATTTTCATRGTAGAAAAAAGCTACATGCAGAGATTTCGGATTATCCCTCCCTATTCCCCAACTCTCACTCCTCCCCTTGCCCCATTGAAGTACTATTTAAAAACTACGTAATACTTTCCAGATTTCCCTCTTCTGTATATCTCTAACAATAGAAGGCTGCTTATCAAAGAGTGAACAACCTCTGAGGTACACATAACAGAAATCAYTTACTAAGCTTGTAGTTGATGCTCAGTAACCCAAAGAATGGCATAATCTAGTTAGATGATAGGGGAAATTCTAACAAGTTTAAAAAAAACAACAAAAAACCCCCCCGCACATCCTACCTGGCATGATTATTTCTGGAAATCCCAGCTTTCTAGCAACAGCTGTGGCTCTATCTACAAGGTGGGGATAGTCCTTCCTAGTTTGAGTCACATTCCCAACAAGCATTTTCACAGTTACCCAGAGACCTGTTAAGAAGGGAAAAATACAACACATTTATATTAAGAAAAAAACCTCTCTTCGGTTGATGATCATTGCTCTTTCCCTTCCACCAGAAATGTAATAAGAAATTACCTCCCTTAACTAGAAAAAAGTTCCTATATAATCCAGAACTATAGCTAGTAATTCAAATAACCTCCCACACTCCCCAAACCCTTATGATTTATGACTTTCAGCTGCATGAATCACTTATCTCCATGGTGATGCTATGGTTAAAATATAAAGCTGTACTTTAAAATGTAAACAATGTGAAATGAAGCTCCACTAAAATACCTTGTTACTGTACTTGACAAAAATAGTCTACTTCACCTTGTCCACCACTGTCTCCTTTTGATGCTGTGACTTTGCTTAGGAGACTATGTAAGAAGTCGTTCTCTGCCACTACTCTAGAATAGAAAGAGAAAATGTCTGCTAGGAATTAAGTGTTAACTATATCAARCACCATTCACAACACACATGATGCAGCTTTTGTTCTTTGCAACACTTGATTTTATAATACATTCCATCACCAGACACTTTAAAAACCCTTAAAATATAATTTTTATCTGCAGTTAGACAACTGAAAATGCCTTCAGATATAGCCTTTATAATATAATTCCACAATGGATGAACTTAGCTACTTCATTATGGCTAAAATTACTAGGTAGCTGTACTTATCAGGAAATTAAATCAGCCCATGTACTTTCTGTTACAAAGAGAAATCCTYTTTATCACAACTGAGTGATTTAGGCTCCACATTAACAGGACAGATGGGTGTTCGGATTTAGAAAACAACATGAAATATAAGAATTCCAGAGACATCCATTACCTTCCTTGCCAAAAATATAGTGAAAGAATTTTTGAAATGCCTGAGAATCAGTGTCCCTAAGTTGTAGCAAGAACTTTTAAGAATATCAAATTCAGCAGGCCATTGCTTGCATCAGCAAGAGCTGTGCTGCTACAGCAGCAGCTCTGCAGCATGAAACCACTAGTGCCGAGAAGGTGATATCTACACTAGAAGCATATAGGGACAGATCTTTGTACCAACACATATAGAGATGTTTCTGTGCAAGTATAAAATAAAGATATTTATGACCATCTTACGGGTGAAAGGGAATGAAATGCTGCTTTTCTTCATCGCTTTCAGATTTGCCTTTTATGATATCTGTGATATCCATAACTAGAAAAGTAAAAGAATCATCATCAAAACAACGTCATGGCATTTAAAAAATATCTCCTCTTATTCATGTATTATGCAGAGTATTATGTATTCCTGTGCTTCTAGTTAAAGACACATTTTCAGGAGTTTAGAGTAGCAATATGTGCTCTAATGTCAGCAATGCATCACTTATAGTCATCAGTGCAAAGGATTTCCTCTTCAGTAGATAGATGATAGTTATCATAAAAATAACTTGTGTTCTGGATTGCGAGCTGCTGATATGGAATAGGGGAGGGGAGAAGGGAAATAAACACTCATGCAGATGTGGACCCTGGTCTCCCACACCTTTAGCAGTTGTGCACAATTTCCGTTATACTCCAGTATTGCGTTTTGGTTTGTGCTAAGTATGCATTACTAGAAATTCATTTCAATACCCATTTCTAAGCTGAACTAAAATTTTAGTATAGAGACAGGCTTGGTGGACTCCAAAAATGAGTTCAAAGTTGATTATTACAGATGATTCATATTCTAGCATATGTTATCATTTACCATCCAAGACTAGCAAGCATCACTGAATTCCTGCTTCCAAGTAGCACATCAGAGGTGCCAGTTACCTGCCACCCCAAAAGGCCGTCTCAGTCCTTGCGTGCATTTTTTGGAGTTGCTGTCTTTGAGATCCATCCGCCCAACTCGGACTATTTGGCAAACTAAATAAACTTTATCTCTGCTAAGGTCTTTATTTCCAAGATCCTAAGGAAAAAAAAAAAAAAAAAAAAAAGCTAGAAAATCTGTAGGGAAGAATTTTAAACTGGAAAATTTTACAACAGGACCTCTAGTAATAAGTTGGCCTTCAAGAAGTAATAAATAAAACTGAGACCAAAGTAGGGAGGAAAACAGTGCTTTAACGTAGTGTAAAGAAATGTGACACTTGAACATTAAAAGAAAACATAGGAATAAAGGGGAAGGCACCAACCTAGAGCTACAGCAGGTAAGGATCAAATGATAAGGAAATCAATGCAGCAGACATTAAAGAAAAGCTCCATAAATTGCCTTGAGGAAAAATACTGAAGTATTCTGGTGATACTGTATACTGAAGTAAACTGGTGATCTTGTTTTGTTCTTAAGATACCTTCTCCTTCCTTCCTTATCTTACTCAAGTTGTCTGGATTCCAGTAGCAACCACAAAGAAGAGAGGCTTCAATTTGCAAATAACAAGCAAGAACTGGAAATCATGGACTCACTGTGAACACTACTTTCAGATTGTTGAGCATGTCGATTTCCTTTGGAAAACCTCTGCTCCCCCATCTCACCAAGTAGTTCTCACTTGTTTCAAAGATGAAAAAAACAAAAACAAAAACAACAACTTAATGTATGTTTTTTAAATACTTTTCTTAGAATATATGGAAAAACATAACACAAGTTGAGCAACAGGCACTATTCTGTGCTGCTTGAAGGTCAGACCAAGAAAGCTATACAGTAATCGGAAAGTTATAAAAGCTAACTAGACACAACATACAGAATGATATCTGTTTTGGAGGAAACATCAACATCCATGTAATTTGTCCAATAGAAAATAATCTTTTTGACTGTTGCTGTTTTAAATTCAGATTGGCAGGACAAACATCTTTAAAACTTGGAAACACKCACTGTCCGGCAGATATCTGTGAAAAGATTTGGGATCGTATGTCCTACAACTCTTGGGGAAATAAAGCCTTTACCTGTCTTTCCTTAGGGTTTTCTTCATTTTAATGTTCCTTGCATTACTATTATGTTGGCAACTATTACATTCCATTCCATCTAGCTTCCTTCACTATTATTTGGGGGAACAGAGAAAGTAAACTTACCTTATAATTGTTAGTTTCTGTGGGTCATAGAGTGACATAAAGAGCTCTGCATCCTCCCCAATTCGGCAAACAAAATTCCGCACAAATACATACAAACTGTACGTGGGGGACGAAGACATTCGCGAGTACGAGGCATAATCTGGTTGATCTTTTGACTGTTCAGAAAAAAAGCAAATTATTAGCTAACAATTTCTAACTTGCCTATATGGAGCACTTAATCCTGAAAAATGCCACATTTGACACAGTTAAAGGATTAGACAACTGAATTTAAACCAAGGAAACTGTATTTCCAATACATGGCCGTGGTCTTGTATATTCCCCTGAAAGAGATACTGAAAAACACAAAGATGGCTAGGGAATAGGTTTCCAAGCATCCCTTTCCCCTACCAYCTATTTCACCAGTATTTCAACATCCTTTTCTATCGTGAAGCAAGGCACAGTTAGAAGATGCAGAGGTGACATGGCTTCGGGGGAACCCACCTTCCTCTAAACKGCAAGCAGAGCCTTCACTCTATAGAAGGAAATGGATAAGAGAGTGTTCTTTGCAGGGCTGTGACCAGAGCTACCTAAACATGCAAATAATGAAAAACTTGATAAACATGTCTTAAAGTCACTCTTCTGTGAGATTTAACAAACTTAATTGATACTACCAGTAAGTATTTCCTGTCTGGAATTCAAATTCAATTACCTAGGTGTTTCTGCAATTATTTTCTAAAAAGAGAAATCTTGTATTTCTTATTTTGCAAATATTTCCAACGGACAGAATAGTTAGGCCTCTTCTCTTCCTCCTTCCATAGCCTGCAGTAGCCTTTTCAAAAATCCTTCTATTTACTTCTTAAAGAGAAGTCCTTACTAAAAAGAAGCCTAGCAGTGTGYAAGACATGACTTCGGAAAGCAGTTGTGTAGCAGAAGGTCTGTTGTATGCACTCGAACAGGATTTGGTTTAAGATGCTTCAGACAAAGCTCCCTGCTCAGCCCTCAAGGGCTTTTTTTCTTCATTCAGCACTGTTTACTTTCTCCCAAATGAATGAAAAGAACCCAAGTCACCATGTTCCTGAATAAATTTATTATTGAAAAAGTCAAGGAAGTGTTATCACCTGCTTGGCATTTTAAAACAGGAAGCTTTTGCACTTGTCAGCTTTGATAGGCAGGATAACTACTGGTGTTCGAAGGGTTGTTCTAAGTTCACCAGCTTCCTGCTCTAGCAAACTTCACTTCTGGCAGACTATCTAACAAGCTGCAACRTACAGTAAACACCCAGGGTTGCCCAAGGATCCTTTAAATAGCAGCTTTGATTAGTCAAGGCTTGCAGCCTGAACTCAAGGTATATAATCACTATGTGAATGACATTATTTATTAAACAGTCTACTGCTTCATATCTACTTCCATTTGGAAGGCAATCCAAATCCAAGAAAGGATTCGAACAATCCAAGAAGGGATTTAGAGGCAGTTTTAGAAACAGACTTTTAGTCTGACCCATAGACTGAAGAGTGCTAGTCATGGGGATCATCCATTCCTCCTCCTTGAATTAGCACACACAAAAAAGCAACTGTCTTAAATCTGAGACACAAGTTTGGAGGACAAATTCTTCAAAAGAATTTTCACAAAAACATTAGCTAGACAAGCTAAGAGTTAATAGATGAAAATCTCCATGTCTGTGAGCCTGTAGCATGAAATTAAAGTCAGGAAAAAAGTTTGATCAAGTTTCATGGTAAAGTTCCATCCTTCAAGCCTGCCACCTTTTCCCCCTAACCCTCTATTTTGGTTTCACTCAAGTGTTAAGTTTGGTTCATCGTTCCTACCATTTCCTCCTTAATCCGCTCAGTGATTTTATTAGTTGCTTCTTCATGTGCATGAAATAGGCTGATGACACTCGTTTTATCTGGATCCAAGATATTCCCATCTTCATCTCTAACTATCAAGTCTAGCTCAAGTATCCTGTGAAAATTAAAAAATGAAACACACACAAAATAGGGCAAGGTTTTTTCTTCTATCAAAATAAAGCTGGAGCATTTTCATAGATGTAGCAGTGCCTTARGTTTTAAAGTGGTAAAATCAGTTTAAACACACGCGGTGTTATTTCATTAAAAAAGTGTTAATCAAAAACTAATTTTTTTCAAGCTCTTGATCCTTACGTTTACATTTTGGAACATCGAGTTGGAAGCTGTCACTAAAGCACGTAGCACATAACACATGCTCTGTATTCAAAATCACATTTTGCTTTAGTAAGTCCTCATCTCTTCTGCCTTTTTCTCGTGGGATATATAAACGTGTTAGACACATAGGTTGAACATACTGTTTGATTTGCATTCTCGGAGTACGTTCTGTAACTAGAATTCAGAAATCTGTGCATCCAAACCATAGTGACCAAGCAGAGCTGCTTTATAGCTCATGGTCATTGCTTATTTCTAGCCACAAGCAGCTTGAGACTTGCAGACATATATAGGTCTTCAAGCCACAACAACCACATCATTTGCAATAGCTCAAAACCATTTATGAGCAGATTGTCTCCTAATATCAGTATCATGACAACAGGCTTACTCATTCTGCCCTCTACCAAGCATTGAAATATCGTCCACTACTTGCCATTACTCAGTTTTTGCTAAAAAAAAGCCTTGTGCTGCAATGACATTTTGTCAGCAAAAGACAGACACAGCATTTGTCAAGCAGCTGTCCTGTCTACAGTAGTTTCACTTCCATTAGCAAAACCAGAGTTCTGCCTGGAAACTCCCGTGTCGATGTGGGGATTTTGCCTTCAAGACAGGCTTGTACACCTCAGACTTCTGCTCTTCATCCACTGTTAAGGTCTGCACACCGCTCTTCATGCAGTAGCTTAATTCTCCTAAGAGGCAGGTGGTGTTTTTGAAGGATGGGTAAAAAGCTCTGGTCCTGAGTACACCAGTTTTACATGTCTATAAAGGACGGTCACCTGACTTAGGCTATCTGATAAGTTTTCATTCTGTAATAAGTGTTTCGAAAGAGTTAATTGCGATAGAAACCTCAACATCGGACCTTCTGTTCCCAGAGCAATAACAGGGAAGACTTCAAAAAGAAGGGTTTAGTGCACCTACATCCTACATACATATTGTACAAAACTTCAAACAGGAAGAATTTCTCTATTGTTTCTGCATGCTTTAAAACTGTTTTCCAGAAGCAGTGTAGTCCACTTACTTGTTACCATAGTCAATTCGGGAAGTGACTTTCTGCTTGAGTTCCTTCAGCTCATCTTTTGGCAGAGTCCCAGACAGAAGTTGTGACCTCCACTCCATTAAGTCACACATCATAGACTGTACCTGCTGGAACCGCTCATTCTTATTTGCCTAAGATAAATAATAGATTCAAGATAAGAAGTTTCAAGCTCTGTACAAAGTGGAAGTGAAACACTGGCCTCGACAATTCAAGGATGTGTCTTATCTATGGTTAACCGTTCAGCTTCCAGAGTCAAGAATTAAGCAGAGTGGGAGCAGGAACCCATTTAAGTCCTGTTTTATTTCTTTACCTCTGTCCATTCCTCCAGAAACTCCCCCACGTAATTCAACCAGCCTGCCTTCTTCCTCTTCCCTTTAAACAAAGGTTTAAAAGCAAAATCCCTCATATTATAGGAAACAAGTTACATAAAACAGAATCAATCCACATGCAGGTAGAGAAGGGTATGAGTTTTTGTTTATATACTTGTGCTTTTCGTTGGATTCAAAATCATTAACTGAAATCTCATGAAAATTATTATGAAAGCATTTTTCCTCTAAGGTACTCATGACAGCATGCTGGAAGTAAAAACATGTGACCATAGTATGTTAATACTTTAAAAGGCTACTGAAAAAAGTGGGTGGACACACAGAAGTCACTAGAGCTATTTCAGAGTCACTCATTAAAATATATTCTATCTGTTGACTTTAGTAAGAGGAAGACTGAAAAGTGACCCATTTCTCAATATAAACRCATCAGTGAGGAAAATTACACAGTATTATTCAAGACTTCTGGCAGATACAAAGCTAAATCTGACAGCTGGAAATTAGCAGAAAAAGACACAAGCAAATGACAGCCAGATTCATTGGAACAGGTTATCTACTAGATTAGACTATTAAGGGCACTGGAGAATTCAGCATCTTATTGATGTTTTCCTATCAGTACTTAAAGCAATTCTGGTAGGCTGAAATTAAACAACTCACTAGCATACAAGTCACAGATTAATACTAGGTTAAAAAATCAACTATGATATGCAGATTAGCCTTCTTGGCTTAAATTTTCAGCTATATCTSAATGTCTTCTAGTGCTGCTTTCTTCCTACCACTCACTTCCTGCCACTATTCTAGGTTATGCTGGTAACCCTGAATCACTTACTCCAGTACAATTTCAGTTTGAATTCTCTTCCTCCTAAAGCCTGTAATACATTGTTTTTGTAAGGGAACACTACCAGGTGGCCATTACAGTCACATACAAAAAAAAGAACCATCATTGCATACAGCTTAGCACAAGGAAGGCAGATGCTCAGTACAACACTGTTTGGACAAATTCCTCTGAATTCACTGCATGTTTTATGTATTGTTTTTGCATAACAAAGAACTGCTAGGATAAAATGGATTCTCAGGTGGAAAAACAGKTTTTTTTTTWAAGAATATAAAGTGAAGATACTGCAAGTGAAAAAGATTGTCACTTSTCACTGAYGTACATACTACAAGTCACCCTTGAACAACTTCTSTTAGAGACTCAAGAACACATTAAAAAGTGTTCAAACTTGTTCAAATCTTAAGTTTAATTTCCATTTGAAAAAATGATCAACTCAGCAATCATGAAAATATCATTTGGCAATTTAGGCACAGGACACAACGTTCAATCRGGGGGCATCAAGTTAAGCAAATCCACAGCAACAGCTGAAATCCTTTTAACTTAAAATCATAGAATTGATCTAAGTAGAAGTGAGGAAGCAGTTTTAAATTGTGCAGATTTCTGCCTTGCATCTAGGTGAAGATACTAATTTAAATAAAGCCTCAAAATAGATAAATAGCAGTAACAAACAAGTCACATGTGGCTTACAARAGCTTCATACCACATAGAGCTGTTTCCAGATGCTGCCCCATTCCCAAAGGGTAGTGGTAACTTCTTGTACTAAGGGGATTTCAGCAGGTATTATATTTTCTGTATGTCTAGGAAAGAAGCAAATTAAACACAGGATAAAAGAACGTTTCAGTTTCATGGCTTTACATTGTAGTTAATGTTTTTAAGGCACATAAATGACAAACTTGATTCTTTAGCAGACTAGGTCCTCAACTTATTGAAACAGTTAAATTCAATACCTTTTCTTTTCCACAGTAATGTCCTTGATGTGGATAAAAGATTTAGGAAATATTCCCTGTTGGGAAAGGAGAAAACAAACAAGAGAATCCGCTCACTTATATATCTCCAAGAAGAGTTACATTACATAAATGAAAGCTTTCCTAACTCTACTTTTATTCTTTTTTTTTCCTCTCCATAAAACTGTTAACAAAATGCTTTAAGAAAAGAAAATCCTTTCTTTTGGAAAGCATAGAAAGGAGACAGTAGGACCATAAACTCTGCAGTACCCTTAGGCAGATGTGGCACCACTACAGTTGAAAATATGAGCACATTTTACGCTACTCAAGGCTAAGCAGCAAGATGCCCAGCAAGGTATAAGTGACATCACATTTCATCTCATTTTCAGAATTCATTCCTAATTGCGCTGTGCATAGAAAAGGTGACCCGACAGTTAATTTTTGTGATGGGTCCAGACACTACAAAAGCTGAAGCATTTCAATTGATCCTAAGGAACGTATCCTAATCCATCCATGACCAACCTCACGCTAGCTAAAAAAGCTAGATTTGGTAACGGAACAAGGATTTGTTTGGATTTAGCTCTATTAATAGCTGACACTCATATCTGAAATTTGATGTAACCCTAGTTAGGTTACAGTTAACGTCATTTTATCCTAAAAATCCTTTCTCTTGGTACTAGACCCTCAAGGAGCTGTGGTCATAGTGACCACACAGTAACAACCTCACACTGCTTCCTGTGCAATCTGTGCTCCATCGAGAAGCAGGTCCAGTAGAGGCAGTTGCCTTCTCACTAGACCAAGCAAGCAAATGCAGTGCTACTCGGTGTAATAAGAGCTCACAAAGCACAAGAAACATTGGATAGAAGGCTGGATAAAAACATTACATGTAGTTCTCATCTGTATTTTGTACGCACAACCATTCAGCATTTTAATGTTAMGTCAACTGTCTAAAAGGTCAATAAAGTAAGCTGAAATATTTTACTATCATCTACAGACATATAACACAAGTTAGTTGCTGTAAGATCATGGAAATTATTGCTAATACTCACAAGCTGTTCAATACAAAATAAGAACAGAAATGGATGTCTTCAGACTCTTCTGATTTTTCTAGTGATATATTCCTGGCAAAGAACTTTTCTGCTCCCCAGATATTCCTTTTTAAGTGGCTGTGAAGTTTTAACATCCTTTCTYCAGGCTATAGAAGCCACTTCTTCCAAACGTTTTCACTTTAATATAGCCTTAGGACTCCGGATTGCAATGCCCTGGGTGTTGCCATTTCAACAAAGTCTGATACTATTATTGAGTTCCACAATACATTTTTCTTATAGAAAGATGCATGCACTTAAATTCTCTCATTGCCTAATTCTTGAGCCTCTTTTGTGATCACTACAATATTTGTTGCTTAAGGATGCATATCAAGACTTGTGCTTCATGGGAGGCGTTTATAATGAACACAGTCCTATGAACTCTTACAAAACARAACAAAGCAGAAGCATACACATTTTGCAGGTAATGAACTCCAGTAAGTTATTTCAAGGGTCATCTTCATTAGCCTGTTATTTCTTTGATTTTCTTCTGCCTGTCCTAACTTCTAATATTAGCTAACATTGTTTGGGACAAGTGTTGATCATTTTATTCATACCGAAGGAAGAGAGATGGATTTCACTGACTTGATTCATCAGCGTAGAACTGTCTCATAAAACACACTGGGAAAAAAARTGGCCTCATTTCATGTATTTATACCTTAAACCGTCTCATACAAACGAACGCTGTCATCTTACCTCCAGTCCTTTGTGTCTTACTAGATAACCCCTGTACCAATCTAAAAGTAAGGAAGAAAAAAGCATGCTCAGTATAACATAAGATGTACATAAAATAGCATATATTCAACTCATGCTTTGTGTTTAATCTAGGAATATCTGTCATAGGATGCATAAAAATCCTGGAGTTACTTGCAAAATGTGCAAGCAAAAACAAAGCACGTGGCAGGAAGCATGCTTAGCATGGCCTATACGTTGATAAGAATGATCGTGTGATCTGCTTTCAAGAGCTACAAAGAATAGATAGCCTTACACAAAAAAAGGAAGAAAAAAACATTTCTTTTTCTTATTTCTTTTTTTTCCTCCAAAAAAAGAAATAGAGTAAGAATTTGTATGTTACATATATAAGCACATAAAAACCAARGTCACTCACAGAGTTAAAACACCCATGAGGCTCTTTTCTATCATGAGGAGCTAGACCTTTTGGAGACAAATAAGCAGCTTGCAAGTGTAATGTTCGAGTTAGATTCCTTAAAAATGAAGAGCTGTTATGAGTTTTTTTGTTCCATTTGTCAACTAGGAAATTCGTTTGGGAGTGGGTGGGGAGAGAAGCGGAAAACAAAAAGAAAAACAAACACCAAAATAAAGTTCAATTTAGCAGCAGCGATAGGAAACTCTGAATGAGGCTTTGTACTATTATAACTCTGCTAAACCACAACAAACCTCTCTAATGAACCTAAAACGAAGRGTTTGACCTTAATCAAACACTTAATTGAAAGTTCACATCATGATAAAACATGACCTGCARAGCAACAATAAACAATTCTGTATGAACTTTAATTTTACCCCAAAGAAGAGCTTTTAAGACTAATAGCTCATGCTTCATGACTATTTTCATGAACAGGCTTCAACTTGGCTACTAGTTTTTCCTTTCACACATCTTTAACACAAAGACATTTTAGTCAACCAAGCCAAAATAAATCGAACACGGCTGTGAGGAAAGGCATTATTAAAAAATGGCAGGGAGATTGCTAAATTTAAGCATAGTCCCCAAAAAGATTCTGACCTTTTTTTTTCCAGGACTAAGAACTTTGGCCAGTGTCTATTGAGCAAATAAAGTTCCAACTCCCCTCAAACTGAATGATTTGCCAGTAACGTCCAATTGACATACTGTGGAAAATCTGTTAYATTTCGTCTCACTTGCTGTGACTGTACACGTTCTATTTCCCTATTTTGCACACACAAAATGARCAAAAACGACTTAAGATGTCGACATGCTTTCATTATTCTTTAGACACCAGCTGCACCTGGCAGYGTATCTTGTTTTAGATACTTATACAGAAACTTCCTTATCTGCATAATATCAAAGATGTGGAGTTACAAGATACAACTGTCAGAGTAGAACACTGAAGGTCATTTTTAATTGATTTTGCAAAGCTTGAAACACCTCAGAAATCCTTAGTCTCTTGCCCAAGACCACCATCATTTCAGAYTGTAAGAAAATTACAATGGCTGTTGAAGAGACACTCACTGTTGAATTAGTAAGAATAACCGCTCTCTGATTGCTTTCAAAGAAACTAAAACCCTCAGTAGGTCTCGCCAGCTGGAAGAGAACTCAGTAAGAGTGCGAAGGTACTCAAAGCAGTAAGGAGAAATACACTACCACTGCAGGACAGACAAGGATTTCAGCCTCACAACTGTACTAAGTTTTCCTTTTGTGTTCTCAGATTTTTCAGTCTTTATTTATTTTACAGTTCTGCTATTTGGTGCTATGTGGATACCTCCACATAGCCACTCCATATGTTGGAATCAGCCTCCTGAATATCAGTCACAGCCAGGTTAAAGAGAACAAATGCTGTTCAGCCTGTCAGCTAACTTAGAGCATATGCAGAAGTGTCTAATCATGCTGATTTAGCAACTACTTGAAAAATACCAGAATTCCATCTTGTATTATTAGATGATTGTTGAATTTCTCAACAAATATTTAATTTAGAGGCACATATGTACTCCATTAGATGTACACCACGCATAACACGAACCAGGATGAACTTCACAACTCTTCATTCACGTTGACGACTTCCTCATTTGATAATTGCTTCCCAGGGAAACCACACGTGCTGTAACACTTGATTTTGGCTCTCCCAAAATTACTAAGTTCTTCCTCAAAATAGACAACCATAACCAGTAAAAATAATATCATCAGCAAGCTACGTATGTGAAAAGAGTAACCAGTATAAAGCAACAGAATTAAATTATCTAACCAGAGAAATTTGTAGCCTGAAGGCAACTGACTTACCTTCGCAGGACTCCAAGATATGGACCACATCACCAATCTGGAGAGGTAGCTGTGATACCCCCGTACCTTTGAAATTGTATATAGCTGAAAATTAAAGGACAAAAATATTAGTTTTCTGTACTGCCTTATACTACAATTTTATTGAAAAATACAGATGTGGATTAGTATTCTAGTCCTAGGATAAATAGSCTACAATAAAATAAGCAAATGAAACTATAACTTTATCAACAACCTTCCTCTGTTATCATTGCTTCATCTTTTCCCTTGTAAAAATGCTAAGGTGTCAAAATGCATATGCTTGAAAATAAGTGTTTTATAGCAAGTATTTTGCATAGGTTTTAGAGAACCCCTTTAGGTAGAGGTCTTCATAAGCACACGTGTGTTTTGCTGGAAGCTTTAAGTCCTAGACCAGTAGACTAAGAAGTGCACAGTATACATAAACTTATACACTGGCTCTGGGGAGACTGAAAAACACAGGAATAATGAATTTATTGAAATCTTTCCAGGGTTAGTGTGTTTCATCTTAACAGAAATCATRTTTCATATAGGAACAGTGAGTGTTTCGGCATTTTGCATGTTTAATGTCTGTGAAAAAGSGACCCAGAAGCAGCAGATCTGAAAGTTCTTTTAACCAGCATCTTATCAGTATGTGTTAAAAAAGAAGTTTCAGAAAAAAAGCGTTATTACTTCTAACATTCTAGGGCTACAGGATGTGGGCTGCTAGGTAAGCATTTGTTTCTGTATATTCTTTTCCTCRTGGGTTTGCCTATAGACTTTCACAAAAATGCTGCAGGGTTATTAAAGCCTAAGGGAAATAGGGAAATGATTTAAAAGATGCAACTCTAAAGCCATAGTTAAACTGCACTAGGAGAAACTATCCAGAAGCATCCATGAGCACTGTTGTGCAGCAACAGGATAAGTTGACAGGATTCTCTCTCATGACTGTCTTGCAGTCCATCCACACTATTTACACGTGCAGAACACTTGAAACCTGCAGTATTTTGAAGTAGGGGARGGCTGATGAGAAAAACCTATTCTTGCATTTTCCTCTCCCCTCCAGGCTTCTAAGCTAGAAGCTTCATTTCCGCTATGTCAAAATACATAGCGACTGACACCTTTTATTTAAACATCTTTCTTAAAAATGGTTTAAAATCAAGTGAAACAAATAGAAAACCTAAGGTAGGAGTAGACATAAATCAGTTCAACCTCATCAATTTCTTAGGTATGTCAAATGTTACTTAATGTTAAAACTTAAACAATGTTACTTATTCCTAYGTATTTTAAAAAATACACCACAGCTTACTGCTGCAGTTATCCACCAACACAGATGCAGAAGACTTAGTCATATATTCACACTGCGTATTGTTTTCGCTTTCTGGCAGTAAGGTTAGTTATTATGTTGAAAAGCCCAGGAACTGACAAAGGAAGTGGCTTCATCAACCCAAGCTTTCCTAAATGAGTAAGTGGAAACTTACTGATGAAAGAGATTTGATGGTGCAATTTGGATTGTTTGGTAGGATGCGTTTAATACTAACCTTTATAAAATTTTAGCAAGTAAGCATATCTAAATTTATRAGAAGGAATTATCTGCAGTAGGTAGTTGCAAGAATTCCATAGACCACTCAACACCCTAATACAACCAGCTGTATTGTAACCAGATGTACAACATCCCCGGCTGTATGACCTACAGCACCAGACTTAYAGCACTTAGCTACCACACCAAGTCATTTCTGAACCATGAGCTGTGCATGAAGGACTGGTTTATGTGTCAGCTGCAGTCAATACCGCTTCCCTCAAAATGCAGCTCTCCATCAGGTGGATTGTTGAGGCTTGATCAGGCTCAACAAAATTCCACACTTCTCCCCCATTCTTCCCCCGTCTTCTGAATCCCAGMAGCAATTACTGAGCTCAGGAGCCACTACAAACAACAAGGCCAGTTTTCTGTAGGGTSTAGACTGTGTGCCAAAATCACTGCCTTGAATTTTATAGCTGAGGGAAGGAAGGGGGCAGGAAGGGGAAGGAAGAGCCTATACCACAGATATGCCCCCCACAGTACAGTACCTGAAAACCCTTATAAAGCAAGGGTTTCTTTTATCTGCCTCAGGAGGTCATCAACTAAAAGCCAACAAAAACAATATTGCTTCACAAAGCAAACTTAAAAAATGAGATCAAATAGGTCATATGAAAAATGTGGCAAACTGAACTGTGCCCTGCCACCAGTGGGTTTGGAATTCTGCCTAAGGATTGTGTAAATGTCACCCACGTGCAAAACACTCAGAACCCTTCAACATTTGGCCCAGAGCTGAAGAAACCTAACCAAGTCCATCCTATGGAGACTGACCTGAACTCTTATATTTGCATTTAACTTCTACATACCTGCTCTAAGTATATAGTCCGCAGATAAGTTTTTTCCACATATATGGCAATAGTGTACAACAATGCACTTAAACTTTTTYTTAAACCATATAGATGCATCATATATGTATGGCTATGAAACATCTTTACCTCAATCACTGAGCGTGTACATGTTTTCAAAAGGAAAATAATCATGAAAACCATGTAAAGGAATTTATGCTGATAATCCAAAACACAAGGTAAAGCAAGCAGTCACTCTTTGTCTGGAATAGATTCTTATTAAAAATAAGACTAMTATTTTGAAAAACTGCAGATTAAGATAGGGAAGCAGTTAACATTTTATCAAGTTTAGCTTATGTTCCCTTAGGGCACAAGAGGACAAAATMGAAATTGTGCTTTGGGCCTTACTCGAGATCACACACAAAGCCTCATAGGAACCTCAATAATTTAGTAATAGAACCCCTTTCCTTCAAAGGATAAGTAGGTAAAAGCCTTTTTAACAGTTAGCTTCCCTGACTACTTTCCCCCTTTCCACTTAAAGCACAGTTTCAAAGCTACACCTTTCTAAGGCACACCTCTGCTGCGCCAGCTCTTAATTTCAATTTATCCCAACAACAGAATAATCTGGGATTATTCAAATGAAAAAGCTATTCAGAGTTCTAACAGCCTGTATTGAATAACCTGCTCCATTTTGCTTTTAAAACTTTTGCTTTTAAAACTAAAGCTTTTTATTGCAACTTGACTTTTACAAAAAGGAAAAAATTACTTTTTCTCCTGATCAATCAAATCCCTCTAAGCCTGCAAGTGTGAAGCTTCTTTCATACTAGCCCTGAAACTGATCAGTGCTTCTGTCCCTATGAGAGCTATGATCCAGAAACTATAATACACATAGGGACAATAGCCACCACAGATCCTGCCCTATTCTGCCAAATCAGTAGCTTTCAAGAAAACAGGTACAAAATCAAAGTCTAGTTACTTGTTTCTGCTTTCTCTTTGTAAAACTGAAACAAACAAAAAGGCTTCTTCARATCCTTCATTTTGTAATATGAACTACCACCAGAACTTCCATTTCACAACTCGACCACTTCTGCACATGGAAGCCAAACAGGAAGACTTACTTTTCCTTTTATTAATTCCTTAGCTAGTCAATACCACRAGTTATGATTATTTTAGATAAAAAATGTCTTCTAGAAGAACCAGAGGATCTCAGGTAAATAACTAKGCACTAGGAGGTAAGAAAGCAAAACAGAAAAACCTACCCAGCACCAACCACTGCCCTGAGGAACTGCAGCTCAATTGTGCAGGACAGTGTTTCAGTTCTATGAACACTTATTAAGAAAGAAAAAGTATAGGAAGAAGCCATGTTTTCCAAAGTTTAAAAGGGCCTTAGTTTAACCCACATTCAAGTCTTGCTGTTACCTGACAGCTCAAGTGACCCTGTTCACCATCCCTCCGAAGCAGCAGTAAGTTTCCCCTTCCCCTACATTTCTTCAGCTTAGTTTTTAGCTGCTACTCATGATAAAAATCTTCTAGTTAATGKATTGCTGAAATACTGAGGCAAGAAATGCTGCATTAGTGTGAGAAYAGAAACACAATATTCTATCAAAAACTCAAAGTTTGGGAGTTATCTGCGGAGGAAGATCTCATCTCCCAACGGACATTCGTTTCTTACATTTCTCTTGGAGAAGATCAGCACAYATTACAAAAACTTGCAATTAAGCCCAAGATGGTACAAATGGAGGGTGTTATCACACTAGAGAAGACACCTGCCCACATCCTGTTCACAAGTTGAAAGGACGAAACTCAAAARGCAGTTTACTAAGTTACCTACCCACACCGCTCTTCTTCTCTGTCTTGTGCCATCTCGCCATCATACATGARTTGATGAGGTTCCAAGGATGCCTGCCAGCAGGAAACAAGATTTCAAGGATGCCAGTGCCAAGATGGATCCGCAAAGGAGCTGGAAGCAAGATCAGTTTCCCAGCGAGGACCAGGAGGAGACAGAGGCAGCTGAGGCAGCTGCTAAGATTGTGAGATTTGCTGCCGAGAGCCGAGCTTCCTTCCTCTTTTCTCAACTCTACTTGTACCAAGCGTTGTGCCTTCTGGGGGAGGGGAAACCCAGCCCAGGCCTTCCGATTACACAAGACAGGCAGCAACATCTGAACAGGCACAAGGAGCCAACACCTCCCCTCTTGCCCACCTACTGCACTGACTAGTTTGGATAGAAGCTGCAAGGCTCCAGCAACYAAGGCTCTTAACATTGAACACTTTGTTCCTTGGGAAACACGGAGTTCATCTCTTGAACTAGACTGCAAAAAGAAAAACAATTGCACTTTTACAATCTGCTTTTTCAAGACAGTACTATCTGAATAATTCCTTAGCCTGTCCTGAAACAGATTTCTTTTTTGTACCGTACTTCTCTTGGTACCACAAATGAAACGCGGACAAAGGCACATGAAGGAATGGGTGTGGTATGAAGTACTATTCCATTCAGTTTAAGTTTGGAGGAATATTTAGAARATTCTTCCCTGTTTTTTTCTTAAACAAAGAAGTACTTTCCTAAAAAAAACATTGTCAAGGCAAGGCTTCAGGAACTGAGGTTACATATTACCGCCTGCACTTCCACACAGATGACTGCATAGCAACTTAAATAAGGAAATTTGGGGAGTGCAAAAATCTAACCAAAGCATTCTTGGTTTAATAATTGGATTAAGGACAGCAGACTGAACTGAGAACCTMTTAAGTCATCTTCATTCACATCTGTACTCACAGTTAGGAATTACAGAAAACAGACTGTAGAAAATGTACTGTTATCSTTTGTTCATCTGTCTCCTCCTCAATATAACAAGTATACAACAACCCTGTCCTTCTAGCAATTATACTGAAAGTTAACTATCATTTTTTAAATCAAAGCTGCCTTCAGGTTGTCCTTGGATAACACATTATGTCAGTCTGAACTGTTTATACATACACACATACTAGCTTAGCTAAGAGTTACCTAATATTTACCTAAGCTATCCTCCCCCATAAAATAGCATCAATAAGGCTAAAATACGAATTAAATGCATGCAACTCAGATTATCTCCATCTACCATTAGCTTCATCTACAGAATCAGAAATCCTTCTATTCCATTGAATATCTAATACTGTTCATCTTCTAAGCATGGATCTGGAGACTCAATGTTTTAGTTCACCATATACTTTCATGGACAACTTCSTGACCACACTGCACAGAATCCTTGCTCTAGCAATTCATCCCTTCCTGCACATCCCCTTTGGCYAGAAGATCATGACCAGCCTTTGCTCTACCTTAGTATGCTCTCCTATAACACATAATAAGCCTTTCTTCAAAGGAAGGCTAATCAAACAGGTCTCATTTCAAGTTCACATCATCGGCAGACCAAGCAGCTTCCTGCTAGCAAAGTGAAACTCATTTAACTCAGTGAAACGTAGTGTTCAAGAGATGATAAAAAAAAAAATCACCTCTGACCTGGGATCCAATTAGAAGAACTCATGTTCTGCTTACCATTTTAGATATCTGATCCTGCAAGTCATCTAGATATCACCACAGAACATTTTTCCCCCAGCTGAGGGGAACGCCTGCCCCCTCTTACCATCGTAACTCACTAAAAAGCCCCAACCCTTCTGACTTAAGCCTCCTGAGTCCTTGCTGCTTTCCATCTCAGTCCCTTCCTTGACACCCACATCTCACCATTACTCACCTGTACTCTGCTTCCTTTGGCCATATTTTCATGATGGAAAAAGTTTTCAGGCTTAGATCTCATCTCATTTCCTTTCTTAATAGAAAAGTGGCAGTATGTGAAGAYGACACTCACCTCATCTGATCTTCTCTGAAAAAGTCTCACCTACAGTTTTTAACAAACAGATCAAGCCAAAGATCATATCTTGCTTCATCAGGGATTTAAGACAGATATTTTAGAATATAGACCTTGAAAACTAAAAAGCAAAATACCTCCAAAATCCAATGTYACTACAGCAAAGGGAATAGTTCAACAAAGATCAGAAGATTTCAAGTGGGAGTTCAGTGTGTCAGGGAAAATGCTTGTTCTAAATATGTGTAGTTAATRTACCATATATCATCATCCATCTGGCATAGTTATTTGGTCAGTAGTTTCTTTACCCTGATCTGTCTCATGCTTTTTTTTTTCAAGTTGTCTTTTGTTCTAGCAAAAGAGGGTCTTCTGARGGCAAGTATTAAAGTTCAACCTAAGGAACACACAAGTAGAAAGTACTTACCAGGGAAAGGATTGAATGGCAGGGACCAGGACAGAGACAAGGGAAGACAGGGAGAAAATTGTTGCTTTTTTTTTTTTTAGTACTACTGTAAATTCTAGAATACGGGATCTTGGAAAAAAGCTACTTCTGTACCTCTTGTGTTTTACCTATAATTCTTTTGGCTATACAGAGACTGGTTAAACAGAAATCAACAGCTGCATCTAATTTGCTCTAAAATCTTTTGTAGTCTAAGATTAGAGCACATYTACAGTAAAGCAACTGCTGTGACAGCACATAAGAAAAAATGCAGAAGTGCTTTCATAATTTTTAAAAACTTAATACTAGAGAGGGTCCACTGTAGAGCAATGAAGATAATGAATGGACTGCAGCATCTATCATATGAGGAAAGATTAAGCAAGCTGGGGCAGTTTAGCCTGGAGAAGAGAAGACTGAGATGGGATCTGACCAATATGTGCAAATACCTCAAGGGAGAACGTGAAGAGTCTGGTCTCAGTGGTGGCCAATCACAAGCCAGTCACTAGAGGGAGCTCAACTAAACAGTGTAAAAACAAACAAAATCCATAACAGTTAACATAGAAAACTTGCACTCCAGGCAAACAAGCTCAAAGTGAATACATGGTAGTAAGCAAGTAACAACACAAAAGTCACATAATGTTCCTAGAAATAATACACATGTGCATTACAAACTACTTAATTTTTATTAAGGTACTTGTACAAAAACCATACTACAAAGCTCCTGTCACTCAAAAATGACACATTAGGAAAAACTTTGTATTARAAGTTATCTTGACTAGCATTTCCAAAACAAACAAAAGCTTTATTTTCATTATCATTATAAATAAGGAACATTTGGAATTTCAAAAAAGTACTGTCTCACAAAATTGCTTTAAAAATTCACACAAGCCTTTACAACCAGGTCAGAGTTAAGCAATTAAACATTAGAGGAAAAGCGAAGAAGCCTGAACTTCAGAATTGGGAGAAATTCAGGAGCACTTACRCATGGCTTGGGTGACTTGAACCAGCATTGTTGAGTGAACTCATCAGGACAGACCCTGTGTTATTACATAACAAATCTCACCGCAATTTCTGATGATTCCTAATATTATTAAGTGTCATAGAAACAATRCCCAAGAAATGTTTAGTTATATCTAAAATGGAAGACAAGGCGGTACTTTGGGTCACATTGTGAGGTAATCTAACAGGCAGCCTCTGAAGGTAAGACACTGAACACAGTTCATACTCTTCTTCATAAAAGGGGCAGAGAGATGTCTATTTATGCAATATAAGTTGACTCATTAATTCCCACTCAATCAAAAGGCCAAATTTTTAAAAATTCATTCTAGAAGCACAAGTTTTATTGCTGAGCGCATTGTGTTTCAGGAGTTGGCTTAGAAGATACATATAACGTAGTATATTTTTTCTTTTGTGTTTTCTTCTCAGTCATGATCGTATTTTCCTTCTTCTCTTGATTTTCTGTAGTTTCAAGTTGGGATTCAGCTGTTAACCTATAGGCAAAGCAACCATTCTAAATACATATTTAGTTAATAAAGAACAGGGTTAAAACAAAGCTTTAAGCCAAATCAGCAAATCAATTAGAGTGCACAGTTCAGCCATACATGAAGACAGAGCAAGTAGATTTTAAGAAAATGAAAGAAAAAGCTTATCACTGTCCTCACTTACAGCTTTGATAAGACTTTAAATGCATGCACTATCTGCTGCAGTGATAATCACTTGTGACCAGCCTTTAAAAAAAAAGAAGCACTCATGCTGCCACACATCAAAGTGATGAATTCACATGAAAACACAAGTCCAGGAAAAAAAGAAGTCCCAACAACTTAAAACAGAAGGGATAAAGTTGAACATCTTGCATTAATAATAGAAAAASAAAGATGGCCACTTCCCCCCTCTGCCCCCAACAGCCTGCACATATGTACATCCACTAATCGTTAATTAGTTTAGACTCATAATCAAGCAATTAAAATTTCCACCTATTTAAGTACATACTGATCACCTCTAGCCATTTTTCCCTGTCATGTCTTCTATAAATACAAAGCCTCTCAATGCCTTTTGATTAGAAAGTAGTTTCTCATCTGCTCRGAGTTACTCTCGCTCTTCAGTTCTCTGCCACTTTTCTTGGACTAGCAATAACAGAACTAGACAAATTATTGCACAACTAAACCACTCAAGTGCCAAAAATAATCTCCAAAGGCCACACTACTAGCCCATTCAGCTGCAGCATCACTCTGCAGTTCAACACCAAGTCACGTCTTGCACAATCATCAATTGTTAAAATACCAGTGATTTCTTCTCCGCAGAGCTATTGGATTTGTAAGTCCACAACCTTGCTGTCTGGAACTGTTGGACCTTTACATTTAGCTATAAYTCATGCAGAGACTTTACCACATCCAAGAGCAAAGTCCTCATTTTTTTTAAAGAAGCCAACATTGCAAATACTCAGATTTCATCATGACTTCCCATCTCATAAGAAATTGGAATGCATTATGATTAAAGGAAGTTCTCAGCACTAACTTGGCACCATCACTAGATGGTTTACTTCTTCAGTCRGATATATTAACAGACACTACTCTTTGGATTAGCTGTTTATAGGTTCTTACTGCCATTTCAAACAACATCCTGAACATGGGCATAATGGGATTCCCCTCTGAACTGTTACTTCATCTTCTTATTGCCTCCAAGGATCAGCTCCATAAAAGACCTTGCTGTTTTGACTCCTCTCTGATAGTTTGCCTCTTCAGTTCATAAGCTGTTACCAACAACTCCCTCTTGGGARACTTACTACCTTCCCCTACAGAGGAAATACAACTAAATGAGGTTGCATTTTTAACATCTTGCTTATWTAATCAGAACTCACCATTGCTCTCTTCAGTCTCTCCTATCAACTTTCACCACCCATTTCTAACCTCCCAGCTCTTTCCTCCTCAAAAACGGTCTCTGCATCCCCTTTTCCACATCCTTTTCAAACCATTTCAGAAGATGTTACTTGTTCAATTGCCCTAAGTCTGTTAACTGTATCCAACAAAAACTTAAACATCTGATCCAAAAATCAAAGTACTAAACCAATTACTTCTGAGTACCCTTATTTTGGGATATATCACACATTTCCGTGTTTATAGCTAATGATATTGTGAACACCGAGAAACTGTAAGCAACAGTTAAAACACACCATGAAGGAGAAGAAAGGAAGTTTAATTATGAGACAAACACATAGCTATCTGGACCACAGCTGTTTAGGTTTTAAGGCACCCCAACTTCCTCAACTATTCAAGTCTCTCCTCTCCAGCTCCGTGTTACAGCTAAGACAGAAGAATCAAGAACAATGCAAATRTGGGAGAGTTCAGGAAAGAAAAGTTATAGGAAAATTTCACTGTGCATTTGCCAAACAACTTATTCTTATTTCCCTGAAGGATGAGAACAAAGGATGATTTTTGTAATAGTTWGGTGCTCAGATATCAGATGTGTGCAGGCTCACATCTTAAACATAAAACTAAGTTAAAAGGAAAGATGGCGAGGGAAGACTAAGTTCTTGTTTTTAGTAGCAGACATCAGCAGGTTGTAAGCTCAAACCATCTAACACCAGCCCAGATTTTTTTTTTTTAATATCCAAAAAATATACATTGCTTAGATTACAAAGACAAAAGCATTAGCATAAAACAAAAAAGCATTCCAAGACCAAAAAATGGAAATTAATTACTGTGGTAATTTAATAGCTATCAAAAGATGACATAAGTTCCTAGTTCAAGGGAAAAGCTTGATCTTTAAGAGCTAAGTTGCAAACACTGCGAAGCATACAGATTATGAAAGGCAATTGCCTGTCAACACAGATGAATTTATAGCATAATATCTTATGAATTGAAAGTTTCATTAACCCAATTTAGATTAAGAACTACTTGATTTAAGTTAACTTTACATTTGAAGCTAGAATTTCAAAGTTGGTATGAGTTTTTTCAGAATTTTCAGCATGATAATTCTCTTCACATTGATTGGATATGCAACTCAGTTGTGTGGCAGCTTTGAACAGCTCAAGGAAATAGTACTGTGGGCAAGAAAGAAAAGCCAAGTGAACTACCATGCTACTCTCATACCTTAAACATTTTAAAGCAGTAGGAACATTACCATCTCAAAGATGCTAGTACAGTTTTAAGAGTCCTTTTCCTTACCCATTATTTTAGTCTTTCTAAGAAGTTTTGAAAGCTTGAATGTAGGCAGCTGGAGCTGAGGAATTAAACTGCATGCAATACTTAAGAAATAGATAAAGATTTGGATAGCACAGTTCATGCAGCGAAAGAAGAGAGATGTAGGTCTTGGCTGATTGCCTCGAGCATACACAGAAGCTGACACTGACCTGGGGGCAGTTGAAGTCAAAGAGCTATTGCCATTTCTGTCCTGTGAAGTGCAGGTATCATGATAGTCATCTCTGATTTTAATTCTTTTTCTTTCTTTTTCACTTTGTTCTACTCTGTTCGCTGCTTCAAAAGCTACATTTTTCAGTGATGATTCCTGGGCAGGTTTTCTTGGAGAAACATGACTTGGTTCCAAGGATTTTAAATTCATCTTTGTTTCTTCCTTTGTTGGCAAAGGAGCAAGAGAAGTTTCTTTTGCTGAAGTATTTCTGCTATCCAGGTATTCACAAGTAGAGTCCACTGGAATCTTCTCCCTTTTCTTTTTAGCTTTAGTAACTTTAAGTAACTCTAAGGACAGCGAAAGAAGGAATATACAGTTGGCACCACAAGACTAGAGTTAATTTACTGTCCACTGAAATGGTCACAAGTTATTTAGGAAGCAACACACTTGACACTGCCAAACATCTTAGGAGTTGTTAACCAACACCTATCTATCTGTCAGGAATAGCCCATTCTTCATTCTCCAGTCTATCATCAGCTACAGAAGTTAGCACAAAAAAGCAAGGAGACTTTCTCCCCATCACTCTTACCAAGACTTTCTAAGTGCACATGCTTAACACATGTTAAGCACACTCACTTCACTTTCCTTTTTTGGAGTCTACTGAGGCAAGCTTCCAAGCATTGTTTTCAACTAAGTCTCAAATAAAAACTTAGGTTTGGACAAGCACCGAGAGCAATGCACTTAGTTATTTCCTCACTCATCTTGCTCCGCAGATTACAGCTCCCCAGTGCACACAAATCCAGGTGCCAGCTGTTCTCAGGAGGGCCACTGTTGTCAAAACTTAATCCACATAGTCATGAACTTGTCAATTTTTCTTCAAGTTGTTTCAAATTTATTACAAAGCTCACATTGACAGGTCATATTCAACAAGTCAATATTATCTGATACACATAATGCTACTACTACTAAAGTGTTTCCAGACACTTCACTACACATATCCAGCTACACCCTAAAGCTGAAGATCTTCTGACTTGTTAGTCTAAAATTACTTAATACACATATTGAGTTGAGATCATTCAGCAGTTTAAGATTTGATTACTTCAAATCATTCAGTTTTTATACCATGTTATACATGGTATACACAGAAGATAAACTAATGTTAAGATGCTTATATCTAGAACCATCTAAAAGTCTCCACAAGCAAGTGACATGACTTAGAAAAGCTGAGAACAGATATATTCTTTCTTCCATAAAGAGAAAAAATATTTACCTTGAGGTTCGTATTTCATTTTTAGCTCGTCYACCATAACCCGCAAATTCATGTTCTCACTCTGACAAGCTTGCAAGTGCCTTTCGTTTGTGAAGAGTTTCCTTTCAACTTCCAGAACCCTTTGGCTTTCATACAAAGCTTTCATTCTCTGCAAGGATAGTTCATTTCTCAAGGTTTCAGTTTCTTTACTGAGGAGAGGTAGAAGGAACAATTATGCATGCAATAATCAAGAAAGTCATCTTAGGCAGCAAATGCAAAGTCAAATAAAGGTTATCCTACTGCACATATTCATGTGTTTACACATTGGGAGAAAAAAACCACTATCTGGAAGCAATCTTCCATTATCAGGAAAATTGCCGCTTGAATTTGACAGAAGGCAGCAGGTTACTGAAGACCTAAATGCTTGTTCTGAACAAAGGTGTACACAGAAGTACAAACATACGCATACTTAGCTAGTTGGAGAACTTGCCCCTTCACTGTTCTCTCAAGCTGATCCTCTGCCCAAGTTGCATAAATATTTTGTTCTTGACAAGCTTTACACGAAGATCATAAGTGGCCACCACAAATGATAATAGAAGTTCTCACTSGAGTACTCAGTACTCTTTTCGGAGACCATTAATCTCAAAAAGCACAACATGATCGTGCCTTAGTGCTCACAAGGTACTCAAATCATACCAGTTTCTCCTACCAATGAAACAGGAATTCCTGCAGTAGATATGTACCAACTCCTGAGAAAGGAGACAGCCTCATTAAAAGTTTCAAAAAGTCCCGAGGCCGGAATTTATAGTTAATAGATGGAGAATTCACTGCTTAACAAAAAACAGGTCTGAGCCTACTGAAAAGTCTCAGGTTTTATTACTGAGATGTAGGCTCTTTGCACAAAGGAAAAACATTTGCCATCTATTCACTCTAAGTAAAGGTTTAAGCAAAACAAAAACCATCTTGTTTTTAAATTAGCAATTCACTATCTTACTCATATGTTAGACTCAAAAGCTAATTACTAGAAATAAGAAATTAACATAAAAGAGTTTGGTCATTATCTGTTGCAGCAACAAATAGTGACAATCAGTACATGACTAAGCTCTAAGAAAGAACAGTTCAACAGGACTGGGTAACATGCAATTACATATTTAAACCAAAAAAACTAATAGATAGAGGATACTGAAGACTTTAACTAGCACCTGTGACTGAGGTCCCTCAGCACTTACTTTGAGTTGTCCAGTTTCATTTGAAGCAAGTCTGCATAGTAACCATCTTCAGACTCTCCTCCCCTTGAGCTAGTACCAGCTCCAGATTCTTCTGTGTTCTCATATAAGGTCTGATAGCAGAGAAAGTATTGACTTGTTTACCACTAGTCACATTTCCAAAAGACATTATCCTAGGCCTTAAGTGAAGTTTTGGTTCATTTCTTTAAAGAAGATTTCTTCACAAAAGCATTTAAATACAAATGAAAGCTCAATAGCTCTGGGCACTTACTAGTTCCTGTGAAAAAGAACTGAATCTGATAGTTCTCCCTTATCCAGTAAGAGAGTCATGAACTGCAAAAGAATTTCAAGTWGAATTCAAGAAAATAATTTTTTCTACCTTAAAATACAAATGACTTAGCATAATTATAGGGAGTTTCCCTCAGCCTCTATTTTTGGATTTCAACAGTCATTCCAGGTCCTGACACTACTTATAGCCTTAGGACAAGCTCACAGATGTGAAAACCGGTAAGGCAACCAAGCAATCAGCAACATTAAAATGGGTCAAGCCTAGCTTTGTGCCGCTTGGTTAAACGAAGACTAGAGCACACTGTTCTGCAGAGAATAATCCTAATGCATAAGCTCATAAACCCAAGTTCACGTTCAAAAGCTGTGCTAAGAAAGCATCAGAGCAGACAGTGAATAGGTCAGACTAAGCAGAGCTTACATCTGCACACACAAAAATTCCTCACCTATTCCTCACCTTTGAGCATATTGACAATAGGCTGTCAAATTGCAAAAGGRTATTTAAGAGGCAGAAAAAAGGTGCCTTACAAAAATGGTACAACAATTCTGTCTACAAAAGAGACAGTGTTTCAACYGTAAAGTCAAAAAGGATTCACAAAAAGTTCTCTAAATGCCCAATACAATTGAAACTAGAAACAGACTAAATCCATAGTAAATAATTAAAAAATAGTAAAATACCTATTTTTCATCTCATTCAAGTTAAAATCAGATGTCTGAACTCAAAGAGTTGAACATAAATACTAGGCATAACTATGTAAAATACTAAGATGTGACGTAGGAACACAGAAAAAAAACATTTCTCCAAACCAGAAAAAAAGGAAGAAAATTTCTGAAGTTCACAGAGAAAAAARTGTTTTCTGGCTGTAAATTACATAATCGGTCAAATCCAACCATGAGTAGCCACTGTATCACTTCACACCTGAAGATGGCTTTTACAGTTTTCATAACTCATTTCATAAGAAGACTTATTTTATAAGCAGACTTGTCCATGTGCTAACAGACTAAATACCTTATATTTTTCTAGTTGCCTCACTTTCATGAGAAGATCTTCTATCTCACCATTCTTTTGCTCTAACATGGACTGCAGGCGTTCCAACTGCTCAAATTCTGCCTGAGAGCCTTTCAGTTGCAGCAGCGTAGCCATTTGCAGCTGGAGAAGAGTAAAATCAAGATGCTCAAAACCAACATTAGGTTAAGTAACAGAGAAAACGTCAAACCTCTTCCCAGAAGTGTTTTTCCCAGCTTGACCTACTAATCATTATTTCTCTCATCCCAAATGTATAAAAAGCGCAGGATTAATTTAGTTCCAAAATTAAACCCTGTCTTCTCAGTTGTCATAGCCTGCAATAAATAGCCAAAGCCAAAAACTTAATCAACTTTAGGTGGCAAATCATTTTCCTTAATAASTAATCTTTAAAACACTCTGCAGGACACACAAAACATAACATCCTAGTCTTAAAATTTGCATTTTGTAACATGCAAGCTGTTTTAGCTACTTCTAGGTTTCCAACAAAAGGAATTATTTCAAGCAGAGAAACATCCTTTATCATTACAATTGTAAAAATTTAACCCAGTCTTGCATTTCAAGGATATGTTTCTGGTATTGTCAACAATATGATAGCATACAGGGCCTTAAGATATTCAGTTACAAGTTACATTTTTCAAACAGACAAATATGAAACATTAATAGCAACACTTAACAGGCTGTTAGTGATACTGTAGCATTTTTACCAGTCTAGCCAGTACAGATAAGGCAACACTAGAGGACACACAGTCACAAGGAAAAGATTAAGTGAAACAGTTTAGGTAACAGATTAACAGAGAAAGACAGAGAAGAGGACTTCACCTATCGAAGTCTTTTATGTCAAAGAAAAAACATTAATGAATCTCATATGCTATATCCTTCACTAGTGTCCACAGGATATAAAGGGCAGGTGAATGCAGAGGGCAGATGTATTCACCTCTAGCTGACTACAACTACCCTTTCATTTTCCAAGCACAAGACCACCAAGCTTTCCCAGCTTTTAACAACAGAGCCCCATTTTTAAGTGGCAAAGTGGAAACTGCAGGTGATATTCAAAGAGGGGAAAAGCAAAACAAAACCCCACACTTATTAGCTACCCTGAGCGAGGGGTACTCAGTCCCTGACTGACACACAAGATCACTATACAAATAAGTTGCAACACAGAATCACAGTAAAAAGCAAAGACATTTCTAACAGGGAATTAAGACAGGAACTTAGATAATACAGGTCTGTACTTCCAGTGCCACTCATCACCACTCAGAGTTAGGTATTCTTCTCAATCTAAGCAACCAGATATTTGCTTACAATTTGAGGATCCACCGTTTTCTGGGAAATCATGAGCCAAACATGAAACTGGTAAAAGTTTTGGAGCTTCTGCCTTGCAATACTTTGTAAGGCAGCTTTACACTTCAGATTTCTCTACAACTCATGTTAGATTTTACTAGTTGACAGTTTTACTTAACTGAAAAGCTCAAGTACTACCTCAATTCAATAGCTGAAGAAAAAAATGACTTTTAGTATTGCACTGAGTATTGAGAGAAGCACGATGGGGACAAATAGAAAAGGAAGCAAGCGGTGGGTGGGACAAACAAAACTGCATGACCAGAGTAAAGGAAAACTTCCCCTTTTCCTGGAGGCCTCAATGTGGATAACCTCAAATTCACAGATAAATTATTCATATAGTACCAAGGTAAGAGATAAGGAAAAAAAATGAAAGAAATTGAATGCTACAGTTTTACTGACAGGAGCTGTTTTATTTTTTATTCAAACAACTGCTACCAATTATGTCATAGACATGTTCTGCATAATCCAGAACTATAAGAAGTTATATGCAATAAAAAAATTGATGAAATATTAAATTCAAATAGGTATAATACCCTCCACTTAGCTGAGCTCCTATATCTATCACCTCATAGACAACTAATTTTTGGTATAATTCCTGCCTAGATTAAGAAGCTGAAATGCTCTAGCCTGCATYGTAAAACATTGCTTGTCAGACCCCAAGGAAACCCTGGAGTGTTACAGTAATGGTCATACCTTCATTCTTTGCAATTGTTCTCTAGTGAATGCATGCTGTTTTTGTAGTGACTGATATTTTATTTTCACACTGATCAGCTGTCGTTCCATTTCTGCCCTACGGTCCTCCACCTACAGAACATTATCAACAATTATTACTAGGAAAATTATAATACTTGCCATTTGGATGCTGAGCTTTATCACAAGAAGGTTATCCAACAATTATAGTTGCTTTTCAAAGAAATACTTTTCTGACGAGAATCCTTGACAATATCTGCTATTTTAATTATTTCCAAAACCAAAATAAGTAGACATTATATATATATATATCAGCTGCAGTCAAATCAGCTAACTGACAGAGGCTTTTCTTCTATTTCTTTTGCTAACTGATTAAATTAACATTTATTCTGCTTCAGTGGTACTGTAACAGATTTGTCCATGGGCATCAGAGCAAGTTATCTGGAAAAATATGAACTACAAATCAATACAACAGATGCCCTCAGTGTGATCTGAGTACAACTTTCTATACATGTAACACTAGCTTAACTATTAAACCAATATTACTTCAGAAGCCCTCTCAATTTCTCACACAATTAGCCCTTTTCAGCAAGTTGTTCGAATTCGCAGTTATCACTATTTTTTATTATTTAAGGTGTCCAGCATTAAAAAAAGRGTGACCAGCTGAACAAACTTCTTTAAAACTGAGAGCTGCAGACAGAACTGTCACAAATCCTCACAGGCCCTTGGTCCTCCTTACCAAAAACCAAGTAAATAAGACACTGCGCATTAAGGTAACCATTTCCCCAACTTCAAASTGACTCAGATTTCCCCCCCCCCCATCAGCCCTTGGTCTATCCCCAGACAGGTGAAAACTCAAGTAATACTTGAGGAATGGAGGGTCAAGCATGCCACATGAGAAAAATATTTTCAAAACAACATAATAACTAAGATTTACGATGAAGTGCTTCTCTCCTCTGAACATTCTCAAGTGTGGCATAATTGTACCTCAGCAAAGAGCGAGTTGCCTTTACTTGTAGGATCCAAAGACTGCTGTASTGCATGATCCAGTTGGACCTGGAGCTCTTGATTAGCCTCACGAGCTTTCTAGAAAAATTCAAGAGTTATGTAAGACAATATAACTATATAAGAGTTGTCTAAGAGTTACATAAGACTATTAGAAACCAGATATACTGTTAAGTTGTTAACAAGTTGTGTCTGTAGTTACGGTCAGAAAGGCAAACTTCCATTAGTAGGTTTGATATTTTGTTTGCTATTCAGGACAAGAATAGAACGAAGTCCTTCAGAGGATAACTTGGATATTGATCAATTCAACATCAAGTATCRAGATCATTAGCCTTGCTGTGTTAGTCTCAGATTCCTTACCTCCAGAACAATCTTTGAGAAGACATTCAGTAAAAAATACTATTTCAGTTGAAATAAAGTGACAATTCTATCACAGTGACCCATGGAAATTTCCCATTAAGAGACTGAATTATGCTATGAAAGWTATGTCCATATAGAGCTTTCCAGATATAATGCCAGTTCAGAAAGTATTCAGCTACAGGTAATACCTAACAAAAAGCAATTAAACCAAAAAACTTTCCACCCCAATGCTGTCTTGCCTCCTACCTCCCCCAAATTCCTTGCCTTATTTCCTTGAGAAGCTAYAACTAACTAATCATGGAATTCAGGGATTATCCAGCACCATGTATCAAAGGAAAAGAATACCTCTAATGCATTGCAGTAAGAAACAACTTCTTTCTCCCTCTCTTCTTTTTCTGCCTGTAGGCGCTCCAGCTGATTACGTAAGTTGCTATTTACAAGTTCCAGCTGCTCTTTATTGTACTGCAGTTCATTCAGCTTCTCTTCAACATTGGCCTAATGACAAAAATCAAAGATGAAATAATAGACTTACAAAATATGATTGTAAACACAGCAGGTCTGAATGAGCCAAATACATCTATTAGTAGCAATTACTGTTAATACAAAATACTACTTGGAAAAAGGTTGCATTAAGGTCTGTCACAGCTATCCTTGTTTGCTCTATTGCTCTTTTCTTATTGCTAAGCCAATACTAAGATAGGAATACTGCAGCTAAAAAAATCAAAGGTGCAAAGGGCTTAATTTTATCTTGAAGTAGCTGACATTACTCATAACCATGGATTAGTCACAGACCTTCACGCTTTCTAGTTCAGTGAGTTCCATCTGAAGATTGAGCATTTCTGAAGACATGGTCTCRTGTACACGTTCAGACATCATATGCAACTCCTCCGATTTGGCAGCAATTATTTCCTTCTGATGATCCACCTTATGTCTCAGTTGTTTCTCCGAGAGCCGAGTTTCATCTAGTTCAGCTTTCAGGTTCTCCAACTTAAAGACAATTGACAATTCAGTGACACCATTATAAAAAGTTTTTCAAAACACAGTACTTTTCAATTCATGGTCCTCTCACAGAGGATGTGCCACTTCCTTAGAAAATACAACTTAACATTAAGCTTTTAAAAATAACCTTTGAAAACTAATGGAGATGTTTTAAAGAAGAAAAAAGACAACAGAAACAAGTTCTTATCCTAAGGTATCCTAAGGAACAAATACACTCACCTTGTTAATTATAAAACAATAATTGCATTAAACATTCTTATTCTTTTCCAACTAAGTCAAGCTTCAATTAAAGCTATAGTTAAAATCTTAATTTTCTTTTTCAAAAAGTGGCTTAAAAACAGTATGAGCTTAAAACTGATTCAAAACTACTCAATTTACATGGTAAATTAAGATGGCACTATACAACAAAACTGTTGATCAGATTTGTTTGGGTAATMAGTATGTAATTGTGCATTTGACATCCAATTTCCCAAATGCTATTAGCAACATTTCAGTAGTATATCAAGTTCAAACCTTGTTTTTAAGGTCACTTATTTCTTGTCCGTGAACTCTGACAAGCTGTTCTCTTTGTTGATCCAGTTGCATGTTCTGCTGTTGCTTGAGAGCATCACATTCAAAACTCAGGCTTTCTAACATTCTGCTCTTAAGCTCAATTTCTCTCTGAAGAGAATATCTCTCTTGTTCAAATTTCTGGAAAAATATGAAGTGTGAACATGGTATTCATAAATGCTTGAGTAACAATTTATTAGATACAGGCTCAAAATCAAGACACCATCTGCTTAAGACCTTAAATGCACTGTTGAGGTGCTTTAGTCCCACTTAAGGGATTGGGATTTCATACCCACATTTCAAAACTTAAGTCTGCTGTAAATTTGAGGCTTATCTTTTTATTTCTTCCCATTCAAAGTGTGTGGGCATCTTTTCAATAGCAGGGTGATASGACTCTCTTCCAGGTGGTCAAACAACCGAAACAAACCTTAGCTCTGTCACTAAAAAAGGAAGCAGGGTAATCCATGGGCAAAACAGACTAGAYTTAAATACAGGGCAGCTCTTAGGCATGTTCAGACAGAAAATGCCTTGCAAAATTATGAAGAATATGAAATATTAAATCTATCCTGTAGTATTTACAGGATTCTCTTTTCTGAGTTGTTAAGAAATTGACCCAGAATTTSTTGATATTTAGATCACATGAACCCCAATTTATTACTGAAGAAATCAATTTTACTAGGTTGGTTGTAATATTATTGTTCCAGCTTAAAGTAGTACAAAGTTAGTAGGGAGAAACTTCGTAGTATGATAACATAAACTGTTTAACATACACAAAATGCATGCTCTAAAACAAATGCTCTTTAGGAATTAATATTCAAATCGTGTTAGACATGGATGTAATATTAGCTAAAAATCCTATCATTAGCTGTATTTGATATATTTGCCATAAAATGGTACCTACTATCTTACAGCAGATATAAAAAAATTCCTCCCTAAAATTACCTAAATGAAAAAGGTTTACTGAAATTAAGCTATACTCTTAAGTGCACTAGAACATCTGCTTTCCAGAAAGGTTAGAGTGAAATCGGGAATTTTGACATGATTCTTATTCCAAAAATATAAAACAGTACCTCGGTTTTGTCTGTCAATTCACGACGTATTTCATCCAATTGATTTTGAATTTCATTTTGAGATTCAAGTAGGTGCAAGCCATATTGTGCTGCCTTCCTTCGTTCGTTCTCTGCTTCCTTGAGTTGTTGACGAAGACTTAAAATGGTTTCTGTCTCCATTTCTTTTCCTTTTACTGCTTCCAGACTAGAAACACAGAATGATAAACAATAAAAATAAACTATAATCACTGTAGTTGATCTGAACAAAAAGMTAAGATGTCTCTTAGGAGATCTTAAGCTGATAGAAAGAAAACCTTCACTGTTTTCCATTGAACAATAACGGTCAGTTTTCTGTGCAACTGAAGCAGGTCCTAAAAAAGCCTTTAAGAATAGTAAGATACTTCATCACCCTACACG